TGATACGGGTCTGTCATTTGTTAAGGTACCTTTTTGCGTGGGATCGAAAAACCGCCATGTTTTGGGGGGGGGTCCCCTAACACAAAGCCACACGCATACGGATAAAAAACAACAAGGAGTTTGCGTGATGGGGAAAAGGTTCCAGGCTTCCCAAACATGTTCTGCTAAAACTACCCTCTCATGCCGAGGGACGGTAAAGCAGAGTCTGAACGTCAGAGCCACCTGCAGTGGGGGACCCCCCCCACAAAAAAAAAATGCCGTTTTGTTTGTCACGTTGACATTTCCCTGCTCATGATCGTCGACTGGTAGCATTCAAGAAAGAAGGAATCACTTGCCCGAGTGCTGAGTTGCTGGGTTTCCCTACTAGGCATTGACTGACATGGCATGCTTGGCTGGAAGCAACTGGGACGTTTGTCTTGCACTATGCATGTGCTTGTTCTGTGTGGCTGTTGACCCTTTTTGTGGGTCCAATGGACAATCCACTGTTTGCCAAAAAGTTAAAGTCCAAAGATCCAACCGAATAGCCAGAAAGTTGTTGATTCCATTGTGTTATGGGCCAAAATAAACCTCTGTCGCATCTCTAACTGACCCCGGACTGTGGTGAGCCCGGGTCATCCCCTGTACTAAATGGTGACTATTGACCGTTGTTCAATTATTGTCCCTCATGAGCTTCAAAAACAAAGAGTAGCGTCAACTATCTAGGAAACCAAACGATCCAAAGCCAAAGAGGGCTTTGCCTGTTGATCCTTTCTGGTCGGTTTTTGAACAACTGGAGCCCACTCAAAAGAAAGATTCCTACAGAGGGTCGGGTCCTTTTCTCAAACTGAAAGGCAGACGTGCGACCAACACATTCAAAGAGGACAAAGGGTTCAAAGCGATGGAACTGGACATTAAACCAAACGAATCAGAAGTTGAGCGACTCATGGCCCGACTTCGATGCAAATTCAAACCTGTTCCTGTGGAGAAGACATTGGAACCTGAATAGAAGGCCGTTTCAGCCGAGCTGAAATTAAGTGTCCGGAAAAGGATTGTGGGATTGGAAATAAATTGTGAAAGGGCATCTTCATGTGGGTTGCTTGAATCTCTGAAGGTGTCGAGCCTGTCTGCCACTTCAAGGGTATACACTGCCCTAATCCCCCACCCTCAAGTGTACAGGAGTTCCTTCTTGGGAACACCCGTGGCAGTTTGCAGGGGATTGCATTATTCCACAAACCCAAGCTAAGGGCTCCCTACTTCTTGAAAAACCTTCATGAATCATATGGGTCCCAGATACTCAGAGGGTGAGGTAAAAAAAAATGCCAAGACCGTATCTTCTCGGAAGGGCGGGCTGCCTACCTCCATTGTTTGGAGGCAGGATGAACCGGCTGGGGCCGTTGGCCCTAAACCACTGTTCAAAGCGTACTGTGTTTGCGAAATCCATTTCGCACCTGGGAAACCATGGTTGACACCATAACGTTTCTTGGTATTTACGGAGTCGAATTCCAAGGTTTCTGAACGGTGCCAGAGTTCGCAACCATCCACATCCTGTGGACTTCACTTTCCGGAGCCCCAAGCGTCAAAACGCTTCAAGCGCCTCGGATTTCCCTCGGTTCAAATCAGTTATCATTCCAACGCCTATGAGGGATTCCGAAGCAAGCATCCATCATGAGCTCGCGCCCCGTGCCCCCTTTTGAGTTCGCGCTAAAAAGCAGTAATCCGAGCTGCGATGGTGAGCAAAAGGACCACCAGCATGTAGCCCACGCAGGTCATGCAGCCGGGGGATATCAACTCCTCCTAGGGTTGACCAACTATTAGCTCTGGGGGTCAGATGCTAGAGAAAAGAAAGCATAAAATAAATAACTGAATGATGAAGCCGGCGGGGGCGTGTTGAATTCGAGCAGGGATCCTGCATTGTAGAATCCGCCCCTCTTCATACTGGTACTGCAGATAAATTCAGGGTGAACATCGTACGGCTGATGATTCAGCTGGAGGGCACCCAACTGCATGGACAGAAACTTCTCAAAGATCAACCCCGCATATTTAGGGGGAGATTCGCTTTTCCCAGTGGTTGGATAAACCCCGAGTGATCCCACTGGAAACCACCCACTGCTCCTTGGTTTCCCCTCACCTGGCTTCTGGCGTGAGCCCTTCACTTGGCGACCGCGAAGCGAACTCCGATCTGAACCATTCCTCGTGGCTTCCCAAGGGGAGAGGATCCTAAGGGAAGGGGAGGGGGATCGAAGCAAGATCAAAAGAAAAGTGATGCCAGGGTGATTTTTTTTACATTGCAGTTCGCAAGGGAAACATCTCACCCAAATGTGATTCCAGTGCATATCGCAGCCGAGGAACTTGTGCATCCTTCCGCCTGCGGCAAGCTGAGTTCAACGTGGGAAGCCCGCAAGCCAAACGGAAATCCCCATTGGCTAAAGGAAAAAACAACACCCTCAAAAGAAGGAACAACACCAAGGGGCAACAAGCAGCAAAGATTTGGAACACATAAACACATAAACATCATCCAACAACATCATGCGCTTTTTGCGCATGAGGGATACGTGGCCTGTTGAAACTGCCAGCAGCCAATACATACTCGATGGTCGTGGCACCCGCGTGCCACTGGCTCCAACATGCTGGTGCTCAGGGAATGACGGGTGTTGCGACTGAACCGGTTTGGGGATTCAGTCCTTACAAAGGCAACGGGGCCTTTTGTCGGGGTCATCCCGTTTCTCCTTCCCTATCGAACCAGCAAGTTGAAGGGGCATCCTGGACTGAGCGAGGTCCAGCCTTTGGGCCCTCCTCCAGGCCCTTCGAGCGCACCACGAAATGAGGGACCATGGGAAGGAAACCACAACGGTTGATGGTATTTACAGGAATGGATTTCGCAACCATCCGCAGTATGACAACGCAAGTGCCACAATTGAACATGATTGGGCTGCTTTTCCTGGATGGTTCCGTGCCCAAACCAAAAGTGCCCTTTGGGCTGGGATTGCCAACCTGCGTATGGGATATATGAGAGCTTGTTCAGCCTGCCACCAGGGGCAAGCAACTGCGCCCCTTGACACATAGGCGTTTGTAGAACCATGATCACTATTGCAGCTGATGGGAAGGAAACCCATCTGAGAGGCTGTACGGGCCTGGCAGGGTTCCTTCAAATTCCTCTCTCACACATCGCCCAAGGAGACGTACCTTGAACACAAAGGGACTTTGGTCTACACTCGCAGGATGCCTGGCCTTTTACACTTTTTTTGGGGAGGTTTCCCCTACAAAAATAGACTGCAGAAAAAAGTTGGTACCCTTATTCTAGCCTCTCTACTGGAGGACCTACCCCTTTGTGGAAGATGGTCTCCTCCAAAAGAAGATGGATGCATTTTGCGGGTAGACTCACTGTCTGAAGAGAAATCGGAAGATTTGCTGTGTGCCCCAGCTGGCCAATGAATGTAGCTATCACTGGCTATCACATGCATCCACTATACCTAGTAGGGTATCTACTATTCCCCGCAGGGCCCGCGGGTGACTTTGAGTTCCTAGAGGTTGATACAACTGCCCCCTACCCCCCCCCCCCCCCGCCCAAAGGATGTGGATGTGAGGTGATAGCCTAGCCATACCCTAGACGTTGTGGCGGGCTCAAAGTTTGGGCAAAGTGTGTTCGTTGTCCGTACTGCGGGTAGGTTATAGATATTATTAATGCGGGGTAACCACTACATGCAAATCGTCAATTCGTGCGGAAAACGACATCTAACCGAGGTCCATGTTGGCTTTGTGAGGGCCTCCAAAAAACTGTTTCCAGCAGGCCTGGGAGTAGGCGCTTTGAGCTCCATTCAGATCCGCGCGCGGATCAGAGAGATGGGCCGCGCTGCGTGGTGTTCGGCTTTCGGGCGCGGTGGTTTGCGCGGGTGGCCTGGGTGTGGCTGTGGGGGTGCCAGCTTTGGGGGGAGAACTCGGTGCGTTTGTCTCCTGACTGGTGTAGGCAACATGTGCTGCGCAAGCTTCTTCGCCACCCAAAACCACAGCCAGCCTAGGATGTGTTGCTCCTCTGCACGCAGCACGTTGTTTTGCTCACTTCCTGAGTTGAAGGGCGAAAACGAGTCCAAACTTGTTGTATGCCACTTAAATGGTCAAATCCCAAAAATAGTTTCTGTCCAACTCAGGAAGTGAGTTCTGTTGTTTTCATGGGAAGGGCGGTGAAGAGCACATTGAGATCCTTCCCATGCTTAATTAAGCCTTGCCTCGAGCCAAAGTGGCGCTCAGAAAGACCAGCGGTGACATTCTGCGACCCAAATACTTACCCCGAAAAACTCCAAGCCCTGAAAAAGTTAATCTTTTACAGACATATAGCCCATGTTACCCCCAAAAAGTTGAAAAGTTGTGTTTTTAAGAGGTAATCCAAAGTGTGGCATGCGCGAGGTCCTACGTAAGTTTGGGGGTGGGGGGGGGACCCATCTCAAACTTCTGGTTGGATGCCCCTGCCAACCGGACATGGGATGCACAATTCATGAATTCGACAACCGGATTCTGGAGAACCCTGCTAGATCTCCCTGGCTGAGTGGATAAAAAAGTCTAAACTTTATATTTACCACTGAAATGGTGAGATAGAGGAACCCTTTGAAAACGGATCGTTTCCTTCCTACAAGGGGAACCACCGCATAGTACGGTCCGGATTCCGAACATGGAGAAGGGCCCAAGAAAGGCCAAAACGGGACCTGGAGTGATATCACGAGAGACGACATTGGCCGGTGGCTGCCGCCTTTTTGGCCGAAGGAGACACCGATAGGGGGCCATCCAAGCCGATGACAGCCTTCCCCCCAAAGAAAAAAAAACAAAAAGAAGAAAACAACTGGCAACCAATCCCATGCGTTGTTTGGCGTCATGCACAGAGAAACTAAAAGCCGGCCGAAAGGATGACCTTCAAACCCACCCTTGGAGACCATGTTAAAGGTTCCCTGACCAAATCCCTGCTGCCCATGATTGTTGCAAAGAGAGTGCTGCCCCTCTGCCGGTCGAGGCAGGCGCTCCATTTCTCTGTGTCAGCCGCCGGGCGCGATTTGGCGATGACCCGGCATGAACTTGCCTGGCGGAGATCAAGCCGGTCCCACATTTTAGGGTTGAAACTGCGTGCCCTTGCGAATGCGCCCCAACCAGAGACTGGGGGTAGCGACCTGGATATAGTAAATGAGAGGATAAGCAATCCGGGTGGAAACTCATCCGCAGCTACTCAGCCACTCAGCCACTTGCCCCCCAGCCACGCAGCCACTTGGAGTGGCTGGCTCAGCCACCTGGAGTGGCTGAGTGGCTGAGTCGCTGAGTGGCTGAGTGGCTAAGTGGCTTGGGCAGGGGAGTGTCCGAGTGTTTGACTTGATGTTCTCACATAGTTCACTTCCTCCTTCACACTCAGGGGTACTAGAATAGGTTAACACATCCAGTTTCGTTGAGCATATGTCAACATCGAAGGGTCCACTTTATGACTGCAGGCCCATGTGGACAAACACAAAGATTGGTTTGCTTTGCAGTTTGAAGATGATGTACTAACGGAGGGATTGCACTTGCTTTAGGGGGCATGCTGTTCGAATTCAAAGCCAGGCTAATCCATAACAAGCGTGTCAGCCAGAGCGAGGAGAGGCCACGGTAGGCAGAAACAAACTATGTATAGGTCAGGCTACAAGACGCTTTGATATCGGATGCATCTCATCTGACAGCATGGTGTGGAGATCACTGATGAGAACCACAAAAAATCGGGCTCATGGCAACCGAGCAAAGAGACAAACGTAGTTGCTTCCTCCCTGAACGTGGAAAGACGCACACACAAAGGGGTCCCTCCTATCACTTGGTAATCAAACTCGCTGGTCAACATAAGATACACGCAGGCAGCTGTCTTGACAGCCTAGGTCCCCAAAAAGAGAGCTACTATCAAAGTGCCTTTTTGCAATGCTTCATGGCTTAAAGACACTCTCACAAAGGGGCTTGTTTCCGGGGGGTTCCTTGAATTGTGAACAAAGCCACTCTCACAAAGCGCCCTCTTCACAAGGGGTCCGTTTTTCCTTGGTAATCAAACATAGTGGGAAAAAATAAGATCAATGCAGGCAGGTGTCTTTCATGGAAGCTGGCTTAGCGTTGGACTATTTTTGGGAACCCAGGTTGTCAAAGCTGCGGCGATGCCGAGCATCAGAGTGGCTGAGCGGCTGAGTGGCAAGAAGATGAACTTCAATAGTTACCGTGTATTGAACAATTTCATCCTAAAGACACTCTTAAAAAGGGCCCCTTTTCGGGGGGATGTTCCTTGAAGTGTGGAAATAGCGACTCTTGCAAAGCGCCCGCTTCACAAGGGGGTCGCATTTTCCTTGGTCATCAAACTTACTGGTCAAAATAAGATAAAGGCAGGCAGGTGTCTTTCATGGAAGTGGGTGAAGTTCAGAAAGGGCACCTTAGTAATGGAATATGTTTGGGAACCCAGGTTGTCAAAGCTGCGGCGATGCCGAGAGCAGAGCGGCTGAGTGGCAAGAAGATGAACTGCAGTAGCTACCGTCTATTTAAAATTCATGCTTTCAAGACAACAGAATGCCTTTTTGATTTTGATTACTGAATCGGGCTGCAAGTTAAGCATGCCCCTTTGTGAGAGTGTCTTTTTCCGCATTCAAGCAAGCAATGAAACAGTACAAAAAGGCACTTCGACATTGCCTCTCCTCTGAAAAACCTAACGTGGAAAAATACCCTATAACATTTGACACTCTGACCGCCACCCCACTCAGCCACTCTGACCCCAAGCCACCCAGCAACTCAGCCACTCTGACCCAGCCACTCAGCCACTCAGCCACTCCAGGTGGCTGAGTGGCTGCCAGCGGGAAATCCACCAATACGCGTCCAATCTGATAAATAAATATATACATATTATATATATATATATGTGCATATATATATATATATATATATATTTTTAGGAGGGCATAACTCAATGGCACTTCTCATTAGGAAAACGCTATGAAGTGATCAAATCTTCCTCCAAACACTATGTTCCATCAGGAGGTTCCCAGCATCGGGGCGTGGGAACACCCCCCGCCCTTCCAAACGCCCATCAAGAACAGCGAAGGGCGGGCTTTCTGGAGTGCTTGCAAACATGGGAATCTCCCGAATTCGTGGCTATTCCAGCTAGAAATGTGGAGGAAATCCACCCAAAAACATATTTTTTAAGGGGATTTAAGGGGCCTGCCGGGTGTTTGGGGGGAGGATAGGAGCCCTTGCCGGGGTCGACAGTTGGAAACGCCGCCCCGCTGGCGAATTAGTGTTCACCTACAGGCAGAGAGGAACCAGACCAAGACTATCGGCCAGTTGACAAGTGACCCGGGTAACAAACACATTGCTTTTGCGAGATTGATCCTTTTTGGTCGGGAACCGCTGCTGAATAGCTGGGACATGCAAACGCAAAAAAGGGTATAACAGGGCCTTTAACAGGGCAGGGGGACCTAGTTAAAGTACAGAAACCGGGCGAACGAGCTCAGAACCCGATCCCCAAATCGCCAAAGCACCGGCCTTCGCAGGCGAAGGTGATGCCGCCGATCACGCCGCGCCACTGGCCGCCCTTGATCTCGTCCCGTGGGTCCTGGCCGCGAGAAACACCAGCCCTCAACATAATCATAGTGGATGGACGAAATCATCAATTCTGAAACCCAGCATTTTTTTGTATTTTTGCTATGTTTTAAAACTATCAAAAGGACACCGATGCCTTGCCAGGACTATTTGGGGTGTTGAGCCCTCACCACTTCTTGAAACAACCTCCTCCATTTGCTTAAGCCCCTTGGAAAAAATGAACAAGCAACTTCCAGTAGCGAAATCGATTCCCTTTCAAACCAACAAGGGAAAATAACAAACAATAAATATGAATTTCAGCACATGGACGCCTCATCTTGTTCGTTTGAGGGTGGTCCGGCGCCGATTTCGGCCCCAAAACCCGGTCCCCCCTCCCATCTCGCTGGCGCCTCGCCGTCCCACTTGGGTGGGCTCTCGCCCTCTGCTAGCCGCACCAGCCGCGACACAGCGCAGCCATCCACCACCTCTGTGCGCACGTACATTGAGGTCCTCGGGAGCCCGGCCCGGCTACGAGGGTCTATGGTGGCCTTAAGCCCAAGGCTTACTGAGGGACCCACCATAGAAATGAGGGGGGTTATGCGGCTTGGCCTCAGGGCTTATTTAGGGCGCGAGGCTCATGGGCATAGACCCGACATAGACACCCCCGACACCCCCGCATGATCCGGCCCCAAGGTATCAATTCCGGCAAGGGGTGGTTTAGTGGAGGGTCTGGGGGTCTGAATTCAGGCGGTCACGAGCCTCAGGGATGCATACTATCCGCAAAAAGTGACTTCCTTCAAAGACTATAGGGGACACATTAGGGAGGGCCTCCTCAAACAATGGATCGCAGTTCAGCAAAAGGCCAAAGGAAATAAGACTCCAAATCAGATCCGATTCGAGTAGTGTAGCATTGGTTCAGTACCCAGGCCTCCAAGGGAATAGAGTTCTCCCCCTCCCAAAGAAAGGCAAAATGGGGGCACCAGCGGAGGTCTGCCAAAGTTGAGACGAAGGTATCACTTTGACTCTCGTTTCAGTCAAGTCAACGTCCTGATGCCGAGCTTGATGAACTCATCTGTAAACTTCTTTGCGAAGTCATCCAGGGGGTCTCCCACCAAGTCCTTCATCGAGGTCGCCATAGCCTTTAGCCTGGCCCAATCGACAGCTTGGGTGCGCACGTCGTGGCTTGATTTTTTGGGGTTTTACCTCGTGGCAAGGAATCTGGACAATTAAGGAACCCCGCGTAAAGAACCTTCATGTTGGACAGAAAGAACTGCACAAGCCCCATGGAACAATACATGCGTGTCAACACGTTGGACTTCATTTGGCCTATCAATATTAAGTTCCCCTTGACTTGTAAGCAGCTGTTCCTTGAGAAGCCGGTGCGTCGACTACATAGTTGGACCTGCTTTTGGAGGGTGTTGAAAGGAATCAAGAAGGAAACCAACCAGTTTCCCCACTCTACTCTCAAGCTAGCCAAATGAAGTCACAGGAACAACATTATGCGATCAATGGTGTGGCCTATCATTTTTCGCAACCGTTTCCCCACGCTACCCTCCGATCACAAAAGCCCTTTCCAACAGGAAAGTAGCCTTCCAAAGGAGGCCGAGCCTGCTCTTCAATGCTTCTTTGGGTTGGCCAAAAAATGGTGTGAACTTTTCCGTTTAGCGTTTAGCACCAAAACGCACTTTTTTTCGGCCAAAAGCTGCAGGAAACTCCCTCCAGTGCCCCCCCCCCCCCCGGCCCTTGGCCCCCTCCCCGCTGCTCCCCCGCCGCCGCCTGAAGCGGTCCGACTCCCGCGCCAACTCGTTCAGCTCCCGCACCTCGCGAGGCAGCTGGCCGTAGCTGGGCCCCGTTCGCCGCACCCACGACACCGTCATCCAGTCCTCATGGCTCGCGCAGCCACAGGTTTTGGCCTCTTCCCGGTCTCCCTTTGGGTGCTAAACAGGGGCCTGGAGAAATCGATGTCCCCTTTTGGTTTCCCTTTGGAAAACATAAAAAAGTGGTGGGCGGTTTCCCATTTACCCTCTTTGAGTTGACAAGCATCGGGGGCTCAAATCTCCAAAACCAATCCAAACCACCAACTAACTTAGCAATACATGAGTGAAGTCCCAGATTCGCATTCTAAAAAACGCCTACTTCAATCTACTTCATGTTCGAAAGCTTGGCCCCCAAATCAACCACCCCTCTCCGGCAGGCATATTTCCCTAAAAACATCGCCAAGGGAAACTTACCTCAAACGGGCCAAACGGGGTGATGCTTAAAGTTATGAAAACCTTGGTCACAGTTCAACCTTCTAAACATATGTCATTATATGTCCTTTTCAAGTGTTTTTGCTCCTCATAACCTCCTGTTCACTGACATGGAACCCACCAGAGAATGGTCCCTGCACAAAGAACATAGTCTTCCCCGGAAGCGTCTGGAAGGTGGATGGGACTGAGGAAGTGAATATATCGAGATACAGGTGTGTGTGTTTCTCACAGGTGCATGGTCCCAAACCTTGACCCCTCCTCCACTGGCGCCGAGCCGAACTCGCGTAGGTCGACGATGTCGGTGGCGTAGTGCGGCAGCGTGGAGATCCGCCACACCTCGCCGGCTGGGCTGGCCACGGGCCAGGTCCGACAGCTTCGTTTTGCCTAACTCAGACGCAACATGTACCTGGAGTCCTCATGAGCCCGAAATGGGGTCATGACCCAAATCATGGAGTGACCCCATATTTTTTCCAGGGTCATGGAGCCTCCAGGTCGGGCTGTTTTCGGGCATCCCCCAGAAGACTGATTGTAGGACATGTTTTTTTGGTGAATTGTTCGCTTAAACCACTTTGAAAGAGATTCCAATCAAAGAACCCTAACATAGTTACTGACATAGTTGTGGAAAATGGTTGCCCCTCTCTGTGTTACGAGAAAGCGGAACATATTCAAAAATCAAAACTTTTCATCAATCCTCGGGAACTACATGTTGACTTGTCCCCAATGAATCGGTTTGCAAGCATGACAAATGCACGCAACAAGCACTTGCCTTCAAAACCAACAAGCACGAATCAAAGATTCACCTTCGAATCAAAGATTCACCTTGCTGTTTCCTTCAACTCTCTCTCTCTCTCTCTCTCTCTCTCTCTCTGTGCCTCTCTCGTTTTTGGTTGAGATTTCAAAGGCAAACCCCACCCCGAAAAGCCATAACTTGCGGAATTTTCCCGATAAGTTGAAACATGTTGAAGACCTGGAAATCGTACCAAAGAGCAACCAAGCCTTTTGCCTGCTCTTCTAAAACCTCAAAAGGCAGGATCTAGGGTACCAGGTAAGAAACCAGTAAGGTTTGCACACATACATACGCACATGTGTATACACAAACTCAAGTACGTGAGCGGTCGCGCTTCCATGCGAGTTGCCAGTGTTTCTGAAAATGGCATGGTTCTATCTCTCTCTACCATTCCGGTTGAAGCCATGTATTCGTACGAATATGATGTACTTATGTATGTAATAATATATATATATATATATGTATAATCTATATCCTCCTTTTCAAGTGAATGGGTAAAACAGGGTTTCGCCATCGTACCGGCCCCTGACTTCGCAGCTTCGCTGCAAGATGCACATGGCGGTTTTTTGGAGAGATGGGTGTGCAGAATTCACAACGACGGTCCCGTCAAAATTTGGGTTCCGCAAAGCTGCAATTCCTATAGCATCCTGACGCTGCGCAAACGTGTGGAACTCAAGGTGGGCCAACTCCTTCCCACAGCCACGCAAAGACAAATTAAATTTAATTCGTATTGTGCCTTTGCCCTACCCCACTTCGACGACTGTGAAAGGATGAGACAAAGCGCTGGCGTAGCCAAGCAGTACTGCGCCCTGCGTGTGGCTACATTAGAAATAATACTCACATCCTCATCTGTGGAACAATTGTTTTTCTTCTTCAGTCAACATAGGGCAACAGCAAGGACAAAAACGCTTTCCCCCAACATGTGCGCAAAAAGGCTTCTGTGATTCCTTTCCGCGTTGCCCAACCAGGGCGCACAGCATTGCAATCTGATGCACCCTGCTCACCTGAGCCACCCTTCCTGGGCAGGTACACCTGACCCACAGAAGGGGGGTGACTCCAAATAGAGGATAGGATGAGCTAGGAGTGGCAGCTGCCCAGAGACATATCAGAGCCTAAAGGCAGCCAATCGGTCTGCCTCAGCCTGCAAGCCTGGGCCTGCCACATTTTTGAGAGGCTCGCCCAAGGCTTGGGTGGGTGGGAAAGAAAATACGGCTTTTTGGTTCTTGAGCCAAACTGGCCCGTCCATTCATTAGGACTCAAGCGCATGCCCTATTCAAACGAACTCATGTCCCCAGTGCCTGCCTAACTCTCACATGACACATGTATGACTATGATGCAGCCGTTTCTGCCGCATCTGTGTTCACCATACCGTACTCGTGAATTAATGCCCATTTTGGGGGGATATCCGACCGGATGTTCCAAGCCTTTTTTAATAAAACACCTTGTTCTCCTCAGACAAACGGCGCAAGCGTTTCAAGCTCAAGCTTCCTGAGGTTCAGCCCGCCAGGGCGCGCAACAGGCCCCACTGGCCCAAGTCTTTACGAATCCGACCCGCAAGTAGATAAGCCGTCCGCTCGGAAGATCCGAGGTGGCGGAGCTCAAAGTCGCACGGATTGGCAAGATGCTTCAGGAGCAGTCTGGAGGCGTGCGCTCTGACGGGTTCGGGAACGTGCCATGCCCCCCTGTTGTTCGAAAGCAGGGTTGTGGGATCAAGGGGTTTTTCCCCCACTTCTGTGATACAAAGGGAATCTCCCCCTTCATATGGGGGGTTAGTCTTTGGGAAGCTCTTTTTGTTGTATCACAGAAGTGGTCATTTCCCACAGCCCCTTTCGAAAACAACCAGCCCCCATCCTCAAAACAGCGAGAGACGGCGCCCTCCAAGGCTCCAAGGCGCATGGTAAGGCGCCCCCGGCTTCAGCACGTTGTCCTCAGATTCGAAATGAGAGCCCTGCGTTGGCCGAAAGCACCTTCCTTGGGTGTTCTATACAGGCTTACTGGAAATAGTGCACTGCCATGCTATCCTACTAAGTTGAACATCATGGCAATTCTGGTAACATAGCTCACTTGCCAGTTGAACCTCCAAGTGTCTGTTCTGTAAAGGAGAGCCAATGTGGGGCGCGGGTAGGACAATGGAAAAGGGCGCAGTTGCAATGGCATTCCCAAAGTGGTAAGGGGACTTTCGGAGCTTCCACCTTCATAGGTGAGCTCGCTTGCACCTATGAAGGTCAGCTTGTTACAAATTTGCCCAACTGATTGTGCTTCCATCAGTTGCCATGGAGCCCGTATGAACACACGTACGCAATGCTAGACAAACTGTTCATCAGCCCAAGTCCGTCGCGAATCTTGCATGACTGCATCGACTTCACACGAGGGCTTGCACAACGGGCTGTAGTGGGACACCGCTTCGAGGGAAATCACTCCAATCTGGCATAAGGATCGAGAAATGACGTTGAACAAGCCCGTAAGGTTGCACTCGATTTTGGTTGGCCTTTCACATTCATGGCCTGTTGGCTGCTTGGCACGTACCAAGACATGCACGTGAACTTGATCGTTGCAGAGACACGTCGCAAAAGCTTTAACGGCTGGCTGCCGAGTGGGTCAACCATCAGAAAAGTTCCTCAGCTAGGTCCTCCAGTGGAGAGGTTAGAAAAAGGGTACCCTTTTTTCTGCAGTCTATTTTAGTAGGGGACCCCTCCCAACCAAAAAAGGGGTGAGAAAGGGCACCTAGCTGGGGGGACCTAGTCAGGGAGGCGGGCCGGATTTCTGGAAATGAGATTCTGAACCCTGCGTCTGCTCCTGACTTGAGGCGGCCCTCACATGTCCCTGACATGATCTTATGGCCGTGGTTGTCAAAACCATTTTGGGGTAGGTGCACCACCCATTTTAGTCTATTTTAGTGGGGATTGGGATGTTCACGAGGGGTACGGGCTTTTGACCCATGGCAATCTTGTCTATGTACCACTTTTGGACCCTTCTGGATAGTATGGCGGTGTTAAAAAAATAGGGACCGAAAGCTCCGGTCCCCTGCTGACATTATTTTGACCCCTATCCATTTGCAGCTCCCCGCCGGGTACCCCGAGGCAACATCGAATCTGCCGTCAGTAGCCCGTCGTTTTCGGAGGCGAACAAACACGACACAAAAGGATGGATCCCTAAGCCTCGTGACCCCTACAATGCAGGCCCCGGCCCTCCGATGAAGAGCCAAAAAAACCCATCTTGAGAGCCCAACAAGAATCGGCAGCCTTTGGGCTCCTGCATTCTAGTGGGGTTAACTTCGAATATGAACAAGTTTGAATTCAAGCTGCAGCTGTATCCGCCACTTCACCTTCTGGGTAGCCATTGAATTTGCCTAACAGACCTGCCAAAAGGCCAAGAGACGGCAACGACCACCGCGTTCTCGGCCAGCAAGTTCAGCTGTTCCTGAGCTCAACCCTCTTCAGGTCCAAGATGGTTCTCTTTGAGGATGGTTTCAAGGGGTTACAAGGGTTGGTACATAGAGTGTATACGGACCCCTGCAAGGGTCAAGCTCGAGTAACGTTGACCCTGACTCATAGACTGCCTAGAAGAGCCCCCCCTGAAGATATCCAAACGATTTCCCCCCCCCCCCGGAGAAAAAAGAAAGAAAAAGATGAAGCAAAGGGTTATAATCAGGATCCACATCACGCTGGGCAAGTGCCCGCAGAGCACCTGAGACTCCTTCCGTAAACTCTTCACCGGAAGGGCTGTCCCTTTCTGAAGGGCCACCCGTGGCCCCCCGAGAAAGTCTTGGCTTCCATTGCAACCGCCGCCCTGCAACGGATGCAGATGCGCCAATTGACGCATGGAATCCTTGGAACGAACTGAGAAAAATGGAAACCAATTGCGTCATTGGCACGCACCTCAAAACAGGCTGGTGATTGATTTCAACCACCAAGGCGAAAGGGGCTGCTCACTCTAAGCAGTCAGCAAGACGGGATGCTCGACCTTTCGGTCTTCAGCCTAATAGTTGCAACCTGACATGTTCGCTAGTAGTTGGAGCCATGGCTTTTCGGGGTTAACCATCTTTAATTTAGTGGTTCCTGAGACCACAGTGCAACCTGGCCAACATCTGAATCTGGGGCAGAAAGACAGCAAGATATTTGAAAAGTTGCACTTTACTGGTGGTTTCATTGAAGCTGCCACTGAGGTATCAAAAAAGATAAATTCAGGGGCCCCTGAAAAGTATAACACTGTTTCGGAGCAGACCCCAAATGGGCCAGTCAGGAGCCCGGAATCCACTGCACTGAGAATCAAAATTGCAGAACAGGCAAACGCTTTTGACCCAGCCGATGCGTCCAGGTCGCCAGGGTCCGCAGATCTTCATGGAAGGCCTCAGTCAGCTTTGATCTTCTCTCATGCCAAGAATCTGACCCCAAAACGGCTAGCCTAGGCTGCCTTGCCTGTGTGCAGAATAGGGGAACCACCTAAAATGCCCTTTAAACCAGCCTGAAAGGGACCCAAGAAAAACACACGGCGCAAGTTACTGTAGTGTAAACCAACCTGAAAGGGACCCTCAAAAAAAACACGGCGCAAGTTACTGTAGTTCGATCGGACAGGAATCCGCAAGGGGGCTTGGGTGAGCTTGCTTTACCCCCGGATCTCTGGGTTTACAATTAGTGCAACTGGGGTCATTTTGTTGGTTCTGTTTCTGGTTGGGTTGAAGTCAGAAACTGGTTGTTGGTTCACTCAAACCTACCACTTGGGCGACTTTGATGGTAAGACAATGGGGCATGTCATCGGATTCAGAAGGAGTTTTCTGGGTGCTACAGCTCACCTATGAATCCAATTCAGTACATGAAGGGGCCGCGGCTTTCCGGTAGAACATGAACATGGCAGGTGTTGTCTTGTGGGTGCCCACTGTATCCAAAGGTCCAAAGGCAAGCTACGGGAAGACAACACGCATTTTGGGGCTAGCAAGAAGGCACCTGTGAAAACCACTGGCTTGCTGAGGTTTGGGGGGTGATGGACGTCTGCTTGCTCCCTCGAAGCCATCTGCTATCCTTCCCCGCACCCCTCGCCCATATGCGGCCAGGAGTCTGTGCCCCTTTGGTCCATGAAGACCTGAAATCAGCGCTGGGAAGCTTCACCAACCTTCTCTTGGTTGCTGGTGACCCCCCTGCGCAAGTGGTCAGCTAAAACACAGCGTGCAACACACACCGGAATCGACACAAGCGGCGTTGTGCGTTTTGAAGGCATCGCATCCCAATCTGTTCTGAAGCCGATTCTTCATCTGCTCACCAACCTCAGCACTTGCTGACCTTGCCACATACCATGACCACAAATGACAAGTGGGTTGCTTCAAATGAGGTCTCTGCAGCACCTGTCAAAGATGAGAGGCTAGTTCACCTGACATCGCCCAACATCTGGGAAACAATTGTGAACAATAAGGTTTGCTTCACATGAACAACTAGGAACCGATTAAAGTAAATAGGACCACTTCGGCGAACATGTAGGAACAGTTAGACAACTATGACGAACAGCTGGGAGAAAATAGGAAGCGGCAGGCAACCCTAGGAAACTGTGGAAAGAGGGTTGGAACAAAGGCCTTAAGAAACCCAACCAGCACTTGGTGAACCATAAAAGGGCTGGTGGGGTAACATGCCAAAAGAGAATCTATGAATCTATGCAGCCTGGAAGCCTCTTAGATTGAGAGGCATATCGTTGGAGCAAAGTGAAAATGAAAGGGGGCGGCTGCAGTGGGCCCAGGGTGCTTGAGGTGCATGTCGTTTGCTTTTGCTGGGTTTTACTGGCTGTGCTTAGCGTGGTTTAGCTTTCAGTGCGGGTTCCTTGAGTTGTTGTCGTTTGCCCTGGTGTTTTGCGGGAGTAAACCCTTTTTTGAAGGGGCCTTTTTGAACCGATCCCATTTGTTCTTGTAGGCGCATTCATTGAACTAAATAGATCCGTCTCTCGGATGCTCTGGCTCTTTTAAGGAGAGGCGGTCACTGGGCTGGAGGTCGATAGATCCGTCTCATCCCAGGATCGTGGCCCACCTAGATCCGTCTCATCTCACAACGTCCCTGCAAGCATATAATCAATCAAAAACCGGGCATTTGCCGGGCCGGCATAAATTTTGGACTTAATCCTAAATTTCCGGTGACCCCTTCGGGTTTGGCCCACGTGCTCCCGCTTCATTAGGCCAAGGGGCCATGTCCAGACTCTGCTCCCCGTACCTCTCCTTCACCAGCTGCAGCGCATCATCCGAGTGCCCCAATTGCACCGTCACCGCCTGCGACAGCCCCGCCATCTCGATGTGGTTCCGGGCCTCAGGTTCAGCGCTGGTTGCGGCGCCCAAAAGCAAGGAACCCTTTCTGCGCTCCAATCATTATTCCCCAACCAGCGCGTGGGGATACATCGTTGAAACAAAGAGGTTCGATAGCGCTGTCCTATGCAAATAGATTCCAACAAAAGCTCCCTGCGGCACAAGGAGTTAGAACGCTAAGGCTGTCCAGCGGCCCGTAGAACAAGGGAAGCATTTCTTTTGGGTCGAGGACATATGACTTTGTGTTCGTTTTGTTTATCCTGAAACCAGGACCTCAGGAATCCCACAAAGGAAGCTCTAGACCAGTATAGGCCAGTCCCCTGTTTGAACACGTGGAAAAACAAGGTGTTTACGAAGCCTCTGTTTGGCTCCCCTTAACGCCCTTAAGAGGCCTGGGCCTGATCGCTTAAACAACATTTTGCCTGGCTGCAAACCCGCTTAGGCAGCCAGGCGGCCAAAACATTGAACACCCCTCCCCCCAACCCCCTCCCTAAGGCCTTCAACATCTGAACAAGTAGCGTTCTGCTTCATAAGATAACCAAAAAAAAACTAATAAGATTGGACAAAATACTACATAAAGATAGAGGGATTACAGTGGCGAACCTGAGAGGGCTCGGTGGCTGCGAAGGGCGGTTTTTGGATCCGCCAGAACGAGCGAGCCGTCCGGCGATGCATTCTGAGCGGCGATGGTGGCCTCGGCGCGACGGCTTTGGTCAAGGTCTACGCCGTCTAAGCCACGAAGAGATGCGGAACTGTTTCAAGGTCCTCCAGTAGAGAGGTTAGAATAAGGGTGCCCTTTTTTCTGTAGTCGGGGAACCCTCCCCCAAAAAAGGGTAAAAGGGCACTACTGGGGGACCTAGGTTTTCTTCTCTCAGTGCCCAAAACGGGTTGCCCTGGGAAATGGAAACAAGGACTACAACCTGCGGTCCACTTCCTGGTTCAATTTCGATCCATACCCAAATTGAGTGCATTTCAGGTGGGATGATCTTGCTGGTGCTCAGTAGGGAATGAGGGAATGACCCTTGTAAACAGAATCCCTTGTGGCGTGTGGTCTCCTTTAAGGGAATCCTGGGTTCATTCCCAAACTCCCTGAGCACCAGCATGTTCAGTGGCCAAATCGATGCGTCCTTGGCTTTAACCCCCTCACCAAACTTGGAAATGCCTTCGGGGAAGAGCAACTGTGTGCATGTCCATGATTGGGCAACGAGAATCCCGAAAGGTCAACAGGTCGGCTTTGGCCCCACTGCGAAGTATCGTTTGGAGGGGTCGCTGGATTTCCCCAAAGTGGGTTCCAACAAAATCGTCCCCTTTTGGCGGTCCTGAAAACTGAAAAGGGAAATTGAGGGCCGAGGGCCCTCTGTCCCTTTGAACTCCTTTCAACGAGTGGCGTTCACCGGATCCATCTCCATCGTCACCACCTTGCCGCCCCAAGCGTTCACCTGCAGCGCCATCCTGGTGGACCTGCCGGTCCGTCAGACGTGCTCCAAACCGATATCGGGGAAACCCCAACACCAAATTCACAACGGTTGCCGGTCTCACCATGGTTCGATAGAATCATTAAACAAACGACAGAGACAGAGACAATTCACCTTGTTACAATAGTCTGCCAACCGGAATTAAAGGATCTCTAAGTAAGAGACCTCCATCATGTGGCCGTGAGAGTCTGCCCCCCATCGGCGACGCCAAACCAAGCGCAAAAGCATGTTTCCACCTAGGAAACTTCAACGAACTCTCAAACACAAGCGAGGTCCGCCACTCTGCCGAAGACACTTCCTTCCCTGCCTACTGCAATGAAGGCTATTTGGCTGTCGTGGCGGTTCCATGATGTTCCATGGCGGGAAATCCGAGCATCATTTAGGCAGTGAGTGTGGGGAGTGCTCATGTGAGGGCCAAAAAAACTATGGAACACCCCGAGGCGAGCTCGCACAAAGCTCAACCCTGCCCTACATCGCAACGCAGCGACTTCGACAATGGACGGCGTCCGAGAGGTCGAACATATCGCGCAACCAACATGTTTGGTAGAGCCTTTTCAAAAATCGAGTTCTTTGCAGACCCGCGTGAATCAGGAAAAGCAAGGCGCGACAGAACAAAGCAAGTGGACCAAGTCAGGGCGGATCTGGAACAACCGAGGAAGTCACTAATTCGGAAGAGCCTTCCCCTCAATCTTCCAAAACCGCTTTGCCACTGCCGAGATTTAGGCGCCAAGGGGCGTGTAGCCTACGTAGGTGCCAAACTCTAAGATCCTTGGCTGGAACATCGGGATCCCTCCGGAAGAAACTTGGTGGATTCCAGAGGTCTCGCCCTCAAGTGCAAATTATCCGGCCCAATTCACGGGATTTATCACGTTTATCAGTCCCCGGTCAGCATTACCCCCCAAACATACATTGCAACATCTACACCAAAGCGACATAGCAACTCACTGCATCTCAAAGGATCTCTTTCGAACATCATTTTCGTAAAGGGCATGGAACTGAGGTGTTCGGCGGCCCAAACCCTGAACCACTATCATGAAGGGAAATTAAGGTGGAAACGAACTTGCCAAACACACAAACACCCTAAAATATTGGCCGGTGGCTTGGGAGTAGTGGAAACCCTGAGAAGGGAAGAATTCTACTAGCCAAAGGTTGCTCGGTTGCTGCATTTTTGCGCTGGCTTCGCAAGTCTTCGTGTGATTCCACGGCCTTCGGGTCAAGGAGGAGCCTCTCCCTCTGCAAGCAAGCATGAAGGGATGCCTAGACTGAATGCGTTCCTCGGCTGTGCTGGGCTCATTTCCCATAACTGAGCAATAAGTACCTGATCGCCTCGTAAACCGAACAGTCATGTTTGGGATTCAATCGGAAGGAGGAATCCCCAAGAAATGGACTCTGGCCAAGTCACGCTTCAGATCGGGGTTTCGTTGATGGACGTATGCAGAAAGAGCCTTCGGGCGCTTTCTGCTCATGTCGACACATGGAAACCCAGGATGAATAAACCCCCGGTTGACTAACAGGGCGGGTGGCCCATGTCAAAGGGAATTCTTCACTTCTACTCAACCTCCCCACATGAATCCCCAGTTTGATTGATCCGGGTGCAAGGTGACTTCTACACAGCTTGCTTGGAATTTTCTGATCGCCCATTGTTGAGTTCCACCGAGTGTCAGTCGGGGGCGCTGCTTGGCAATGACGTTGTCAATCACGCACGCCTCAAGCAGAGGCTTGCAGAAATAGCTTGGCTTGTGGCTTGTGCTTGCAGAAATAGGCTGCACAACAGAAATCCCTTTTGCACCTTTGGTGTGTTCTTTTCAGAGGAAACGCCTTTGGAGGAACATCAGTTGGACGGTGGAGTCATTCCTCTTCGGAGAACATCTGGGAGCCAGCAAGTACTGCCGACCCCCAAATTGACAAACCTGGCTCATGAACAGGAAGGCGCTTTTGACTGGAATTGAAGCAGTCCCTCTAAAAAAGGATGCCCCTAGTCATCAACTGCGGGTTCACTAATTCTGGGTGCCACAATGTCTCTGTGTCTTGAGGCGAGTTGTCTTAATGTGATTGACCCAACTAGAGGTAAAAACTTGATGATGGATTTACTTTTCGTGAGACTCAACCATGAAAGTTCGACCTCCTTGGGTCGGACAATAAAGGAACGCCGGAGCGACTGGGATTTGAGGTCCGCGTCCAACGATAATTGTTGGAGCCGCGGTTTGCTCGAAGAGCCAGGGTCTGACCGGGTCTACATCTCTTTCTCCCCAAAGGCGAGCTCAATTGAAAATGAACTCAGAAGGTGAAGCTTGACACTACCTTGCTTCCACGCCGCCTGGAAAAATACACATACTTTCAGTAGCGATAGATTCCCTGCAACACCAACAAGGGAGAATACAACATGTTCTTAAGCAAATGGAAGCTTGAAGGGTAGTGTGGGACACACCTGTTAGTTTGTTCTTCTTCCCATGCCAGGGGAGAGAAGGGTAACCCAACCAGCAGCCAAGGCTCTCGATGTCCAAGATTCATCTTTGTCCCTCCCCCGACACTCTAAGAGTGCCCCTTTTGGGGTTGAAAAGAGGAAATGAGATGGAAGCTCCATCCATTTTGGGGTTCACTCGGAGACAAACCGAGTCGACACACTTTGGGAGACCATTTTAGACGTGGTCCACTGAACCGACTGGGTCCTTTTCGTGCCGCCAGACATTGTACAGCGCAGTGGATCCGTTTACCAGTGCCGGTAACCAAAGAAACAACCCTGAAAAGCCAAAAACATTTTGGCATGTTAGCAGCTAATTTACGTAAGGGTAACTGGGATTCACTAGGCAGGCGTACTAGGTAACCAAAGAAACCACTGTTTCAACAACAAAAGAAACATAGCTTTGTTACCCACCGTAAGGGTAATTGGAGCTTCGCGATACACAAGCAGCAAGCCCGCAACACACACACACATCCAATTCGGGGGTGGGGGGGGGGAGGGCGGGAGCGCGCGTTGACGTCCCGGCCTTCTCACCTCCCGCAATCTTGAGCCAGACTTCTTTGAGCCCCACGTTCTCGATGGCCGCATGGACCTTTGGCAAGTTCCGACGCCTTTTCGAAAAGCCCTTTGTTCTTTGGCTGGTGGAGCTGAAAGGAAAGCCGTTCAGCAAAAAAGGAAAAATGAAAAGGGGTGGCACTGGGCAAATGTGCCATTGGTAGTTCTGGCTGAAAAGCATGATGATTTTAGAGGCCTGTGAGTTAGGAAAGCAGTCAGGCTGACGCTAGCTGCGCAGGGGTCAGAGCAGCAGTGGTGGGGGGGTTGGGATCATGGACAAGCAGGGGAAGGTTCCCAAAAGGGTTGTTTTGGGTTTCTTCAGCCCATTAGTCGCTATTAGCCGTTCTTGGCCGCTATTCAGCCCTATTAGTTTCACCCTAGAACAGCGCACACCCGACTCCCCCCCACGCCCGGCCCCCACCTCTCCCCCCCACCCCCACGCCCGGCCCACCCCCCACCTCACCCCCCCCACCCCCACGCCCGGCCCCCCCCCCCAAGGCTGGGCTGAAAGGCACTCTTCACATCACCCGCGGAGGCATCCCGCGCCACCGTCTCCAGCACGCTGGCCTCCTGCAGGCTCAGAGACACGGAGGTCGGTTGGGCTCCGATTTTCTGGGTCGACGTTGGAAGGGGAGCAAAATTTATTTTTTAGCAGTTAAGTGGGGATTTCCCACTAAACCACACTAAGCAAAAATGTAACAAACATGTTTCCCTACAACCACCATGTTTTGGGGCTCTGTTTTTGCGGATGTCGGTTTGGTTTCAAGGGCCACAGAAACCTCACCAGGTCACCACAGCCCTGCAAAGCTTCGGTCCTTGTAGTGGAAGTCTTCGTACCGAGACTGGCAGTTGGGCCTCCGCCGGATGGTGATGTCCACGATATCCGCTGGCGCCACTTCCGCCTGCGAACTCGAGCATGCGGTCCAGCCCTTTTGAAATCCAAACAACATTGTTATTCCTAGGTCACTTTTCGGGGGCTCCCTTGTTATCACAAAAACAAAACAAAAACAATGGCCGACTGGAACTTGCCATTTCGGCCCTAACCTCGGGCCCTTCGTGTGGCAGCTTAGCTTCCAGGAAACCCTACAAATTTCAGAACCAACACTGCAGGTCTGGACAAACCGCAATGCCCAAAACTCGATTGACGTTGAAAGGGGAGCAACAAAATAATTTTTAGCAATAAGCGAAAATGTTTCACATGTTTCCCAACAACAACCATGAAACACCAACCGCTACAAGAACTGCGCTGGGTTGCTCCAAGTCCCCTGAGCAAATGATCGATCACGACCAGCCACGCCTGTGTCCCCTTTCAATTATCATAGCCCAACCAACGCACCCCGAAAGGACCAAAGAAATCCTCACAGGAGCTGGTGCTTGCTCAGTTGGACGACTCTTGGGCATAGTCCTTCAAAGCTGGGTGCTAAAGTGGGGTCTGGGAGACAAAACATAAAACTACCCGTATTCTGTTGGTTTCCCTTTGGATATTCTCAACAATGTGGTTGCTACTTAGCACCCTGAAAAAGGCAACCGATAGGCGGTCAAGCAGAACAGTCCCAGAGTCGCGTCCGGAACCTGGATTCTATTAAATGGACTGACAAATGTAGGTTGCGTCCTACTCTTCTTTGGCAGGCCACATGTAATTGATCCACCCCAGCAGCAACTTGGAGCAGATTTAGACACCCAGCGAACTCCCGGAGTCCCAGGCACGCAGTTCAGTAAAAAAGGGCTCCCCATATCCCCCTAAAACATCACCCCTAGCTCCCTTTGAAAATTGCCCAAGTGAAAAAACAAATCCGGGAAGCCCGGAGAAAACAAAAACACCAAGCGCGGCAAGAACGCAAACTCCGCGAGGCCCATTTGCGGGCGCGCGCGCGATTCAATTTTCAATGTTCGCCGGCATGAAGCTCACGCACCGAACCCAGGCTGCAGGAGGGCCTCAGTGGCGCGCCATGAACGGGGATCCCTAAACTTCCCCCTAAAATTTCAACCCCACCAAGGGACACTCACCTTTCGCGGACCAAAAAGGTGATGTTTAAAACCGCCAGAAAGGGAAATATAGGGACCCCCAATGAATCCTCTTGTCTCCTCAGGAAAACTGGCCGGGATCGCCGGTTGCCGGTTCTTTCCCAGGAAAGCGTGCCTGATGTTTAGGTAAAGTGTCCGGAAAAAAGAAGCAACTTGGCGATTTGGCAGTTTTGGAAATGTGGGAACATGTTTGGACCTGTTGGTGACCTTCGTCTACGCTGGTACGCAAAATGGGATAATTAAACCAACATGACGGAAATGTGCCATCCGCGTTCACCCAACTGTAACCTTGTTTCAACTTGAGAGGCGGGTAAACAAAAGCTAGCCTGGCCAGCCCAACAACGACATGACCGACAGTTGCTAAGATACTAAGACTAGCAATCCTAAATGAACATCCAGAAAGACAGATTCCCCCGCTGGTGCTGGGGGCGGGCCAGGGTGGAATCGAGCGCTTCTTGGGAGGGGGCGGGGAGGGCCACCTGAAAATTTGGAATCGTCATTTGGCCAAAAAGACTGTTCCTGTGCCCCAAAAATGGTCTTCCCCCAAAGGCCAAGTCCAGTACATCAGGGTGAAAGATATGGCGAAATCCTTTCGCTGGGGTAGGGAAGTGGACGGCTGAACCCAAATGGGGTGAAGGGCTGCCATTTTTTCTCGAGCGTTTTTTTTTTGGGGGGGTTGCTTTTTATTGTGGGAAACCAAAACGGGTGCACTCCCCCCCTTTGTCCCGCAACTGCCGCCCAGGCGCCGGAAAAAACCGCGAGACGGAACGCCCGAAGCGCGGTTTAACTCGCGTCGCCGTTACGCCGCCGGCGCCGCGGCAGTGAGCGCCTGCAGCCGCGTGTGGGTGCCGACGATGGCTGCGGGGAGCGGCCCGCTGGGGCCCAGGATGGCCTCCGCAGGGCTCAGGGCCCTCTGCAGGTCATAGGGCTGTGGTTGTCAAAACCAGGGCTGTGGGAAATGCCCGCTTCTGTGATACAAGAAGAAGGTCCCCCAAAGACTACCCGGCCATGTAAAGAGGGGATTCCCTTGTATCACAGAAGTGGGGATAAACCCCTTGATCCCACAACCTTGGTCAAAACCGTTTTGGGATCCCATTTTGGGATTTTCGGTGCACCACCCATTTTAGAACCGATTTTAGTGGTTGGATTGAATCAGATGTTCACTGGGGGTGCGGGGTTTTGAGCCATAACCATATCCCGCGCCATGTTGCCGGACCCTTCAAGCCTGTCACCCACATACAAAAAGTACAAAGGCAGAAAAAGGGGCCATTCTTTTTGTTTCCTTTTTTTTTTGCGGGGGAGGGCAGGTGATCATATGTTTGTACCCACAGGCAAGTTTGACACACTTATGTTCAAACTGAAGTGCCATTCCCAAATTAAACATAAGGTCAAGCCCAGTGAGCTTGTTATTGCATGGCCAGATTGTTTGCATTGCATGATCCACTATGCCGCCACAGGAAGCGTAACGGGGCGGGGACATGGCGGCCCCCGAATCGAAGGGTTTTGAACATTGCTGCTTGGAGTAAATCTTGCTTAGGGGGCGGGCGAGACGACAAAGGCATGTGCTGGATACAAAAAATGGGACGTCCATCCAAACCCTACATGCAAACTGTCATTCAAGGGTCTGCTGGTCAATTTGGTCGCTTGAGAGGTTAGCAAGGTTCACAAGAAGATTGATGTTGAACAACCCAGCTTATTCAGAACAAAGTGTGCTGTCGTTTCTTGCATACTCGCTTTGTCTCGCTGAATAAGGCAACAGGTTAGGGTCTCAATCTGGGTTGGCCTTTCAAGAAAGTTACGTAGCAGCAACCCCCGTCATTTCGAACCACAAAGCGGACAGCCGCCATCCTCAATGTCACCCCCCCAGAAGGTTATGAGGGGGTTCCCAAACCACAAAGCTTGGTTGGAGTTGGAAGGGGGGCAAAAACTTAAATTCTAGCAGTTCAGTGGTAGGATGCCAACCACTAGACCACAATAAGCAACAATGTTTCAAATGTTTCCCAACAACAACCATGAGCATGGAGAGCCTCCACCACCAGCGTCCCCGGCAGGCCCCTGCCGGACGCCGGGGACGCGGACGCTGGGTCGGTGGATGCCAGGCGCAGAGTGGGGCCCTCGAAGCGTAAAGTCAGACCACGCCACACGGGGCACATGGCGCAACGGGCCTTCTCCACGTAGCCCTGACGAGCTGGCTGGTGCTTGGAAACCTCCATTTTGTTTGTTTGCTCCTGGGTAAGTGGGTGATGGCCCCCGGGCTCGTTTGTCATCCGTCCCTCAAACCCATCCTTGTTCATCGAAAAGAGGGTGACAAAGGGATTGGCAAAACCTAAATGGGTAAACTAGGCCATCTGCGGCACTGGATATCATTGATAACCTACGACCTAGTGCTTTTTGTTCCGCGAGCTTCCCAAAGCCCTCTCTGCCTCTTCCTCCCTCTCCCTCTCCCTGTCCTTCTCTCCCGCTGACATGGCACCTGCCACCGTCCCTTCAAAGGGAACTGGTGTTCCAGGTGCCCCTCCTGCACTTTGTCATGTTGGCAGGAGGAACTGTCTGCAACCACATTGTAGTTGGCAACCTGGTGTGATGAATGTACCCTGAGAGTGTGTCACATCTCAGGCATTTGGACCCCACAAAATAAAAAAAAAGTCATCCATGGGTCATCCCTTTTGTTTCCCTGTGGACGGCCTAAATACCGGGGGGGAACCCTTGAACAAAGCCAATCCCCATGTCCACTTCAGCCCATGCCACTCGTCCTGGAGCGTCCGATGCGCGATTTTCGCGATTTTCGCGGAGGCCTGCCAGTGCTCCAAAGCCTCCTCATCCAAGTCCAAGTCCTCGCGTCGATTCGTCGACCACAGCCGTGGCTTTGAGGCTTTGAGGGACTTCCAAGGTAGGATGGGCCACCTTGACAGTCACTGGATGAATCTGCAAGTGGATGAGCCTGTCCACCTTTCGGCACAGTTGATCAATTGACTGGTGCACATTGCAATTGCCTTTGAAGCTCCAAGAAGAGGAAATGGAGTACCTTCCGGCCGCAAGAGGGATAGAGAATCCAACCAGTTGCCATCCAGCACGGATTCTGTGGTTTCCTCGGGGGAGGATACTTGGAACCCGCACCTCAAGTACCTGGGCAGCACCTCAGCATGGCGTGTCCCGTTGAAAGCCAGCAGAGAAAATACGCAATCGCCGCGCACCGCAAAATCGACCTTACCATCCAAAAAGTCCATCAATCAACCATCAAAAACACCAAAACACCAGTCACAGTAGTTGCTGATGAATCCTGCACTTTCAGTCTTTTGCAGCCCCCCTTTTCGTTGCGCAAGGAGCACTTGACAGCGGCCCGTTGGTTCAAGGGGCGTGCCCTTTGATGACTCGGGGGCTACCCCCCGTTTGCAAGAAAACACCCAAGCCCCTACTGGCAACCCAGGATGGATGAATGTTCCGGCTTGATGAAGCGCATTGTCCGACGTCTCGCATACCCAAGTAATGAAAATGGGGTTGCGGGGTACAATTATCGTCATGATGGTACACCATGATGGAAGAAAACACCCCCGGCTGCCCCTGGAAACAAAAAGGATGGATAAACCTGCGGCTTGATGAACAGGTCCGACCCCGTCGTCCTCTTCCTCTGCGAGGTCTTGGAGGGTGATCCGGTCTTGCCCCGCCAGCGTGCCGAAAAAGGCGTGCAGCCTGCGAGACGCCTCGGGCCGAGCACGGGCTACCAAGATGTTTCGCCCATATCTCAGTTGTTCAGTGACCCTGGAGGAAACAGGGAACCCTTTTGGGGGAAGACCATTCTTAGTGGAGAAGCCACCAGAAAAACAAAGAAAGAAAAAAGCCACTGAACAACTGAGATATGGGCGTGCATCCTTTTTTGAGGGACTGCGTCCACTGGGAACCAAAAGGACATCTTTTTGAGGGGCTCCCCTGATTGTGAGGCACACCAAGTGGCGCCATCTGAGTTTGACCCAGCCAGCAAAAAAAACAACAACTGGCGAATGTTTTGTTGAAAGGGCGTGTCGTCGCTAGGGAATCCTTCGCTTTGGCAGTCCTGTTGTTCCAAGTGCACTAGGTGTAAAAGGAAACTCACCCGGCAACCCACCGGCCAAAGGCCCCACAGCCCTCCCCAAATTGGCCCAATTGGAGCTCACTCCGCTGGCAGACACTGAGCCCGGGAAGGGAAGCCCTTTGGTGAAACGAGTGGTTACCCATGTAGCCTGGGGGACGAAACTTACAGAACAGAGAAACAAGCTTGGCCACATGGGCCGGACCTAGATTGATACTAGGGATTGGGGGGGTTCTGTTCTTTCAGGGGCTTTGATGGGGCCTCTCATCAAGCGAAAGCACCACAGGCGCCCCGGTCCAGGATTGGGGGCACAGGCCTCTTTCTCCCTCCCTCTCTCTGGGCTTTAGAAAGCCCCCCTCCCCAAAAAAGCTGTCCTTTTGGTCTTCCTGTAAAACCACAAAACCAATGCAAAAAAGGCACCCTCAAAAAAGCCAGACCTGACCCCTGGGTGTCACTTCGGGGGTAGGCTTGGTGGGGGATTAGGAACCCCGCTCGCTTCTCCCAGTCCAGTGCCATGGAATCTCCGGCCTGGTGGAACAATGACCTATAGTAAGCGTGCATTGTGCACCGGTGCAATTTGAAAGTCTTAACTAGGTCCTCCAGTAGAGGTGTTAGAATAAGTTGATACCCGTTGTTTTGTTTTTCAATTTTGCTCCAGGATCCGGTTGCGAATTGCACTGTGCACTCTTCAAGGTTGCAGGTTGCACCAGTGCACTTACAATACTCTGTAATCTTTAACTAGGTCCCCCAGTAGTGCCCTTTTACTCTTTTTTCCTACTAAAATAGACGTCCTGCATGGCCTACGCCCATCTATGTCAGGTTCCACTTTTGTGAAATGGAGCCCCAGAAGGTGTTCACAGGCTGCCACCTTGCTCCAAGATGCGTCATCCTGCAAGCCACCTAAGTTGGCTGCGCGCAGTTCGAACAAGACAGCCAAGAAATATAGGTGCCTTGCATGGACGGGCCTGAGGGAAACTAAAGGAAAACCCTCCAAAGGTTGAAAGGAACACCCACAACCAACAAATCAAATGTATTGAAACAAACATATATATATAATATAATATGTTTGCAGTGGTTTGCTTTAGGCAGGCAATGTATTTCGGTTCTTTAGCAAATGACAACATGCTTTTCGAAACTGACAAACATATTGAAATGTCAAATGATATCAAGACAACAAAATAAATCCATGCGCATCACGATATACATATACACATATATATAGTTAAATATTGTTCTGCATGAAAATGATACATAAACCTTCTTTTTGGTTTTCGCGCTCTCTTGTTCTCTCTCTCTCTCTCTCTCTCTCTCTCTCTCTCTCTCTCTCTCGGCCTTCCGGTCTTTTGCCGTTTCCGACTCCGTCTCTCTCTGCCTCATTCGAAATTTATGTCTGGTGTTTTTCCGTCCTTTCCTTCCCCCCCCCCCCCCGGCACGGCTTTCTGCTTCTGGTCCTTCTGTTTTGTCACAAGTCGTGTCTTTTCTCCCCTGTCCATTTCGTTCCTCCCTGTGAATCTCTCTGTTCACTCGTGGTTTTCTCGTCTTGCTCTCCCGCTCCCTCTTTTTGTCTTCTGCCTTCTGTTTTTTGGTTTTGCTGCTTCTTTCTCCCTCATGATTGTTTTTCCCCTTCCTCTCGCTTTCCGATCTCGCTTTTGCCCCGGCGTCATTCCGATTGTATTTCTTTTTCCCAACTCGTGTCTGCTCTTTTATTTGATTTTATTTGTTTGTATCTCTCGCGCTCCTCCCCCCCATCCCTCTCCTCCCTCCGTCCCTCCCTCCCTCCCGCCCTTGCTCTCTCCCTCCCTCCCTCCCTCCCTCCCTCCCTCCCTCCCTCTCTCTCTCTCTCTCTTTCTGCAGTTTCTTTACGCTCTGTTTCGTTCTTCTTTTCTCTGTTGTGTTCGTCGCGTGGCGTTTTGTTCCATCGGTTTTCTCGCTGTCTCTTCTCATTTAACTGTCCCCTTCCTTTGATTGTTTCTCTCTGTCTTTCTTTGCTTGTGTTCTTCCTTTGTTCTCTCCTTCTTTCCGCCTTTCTTGCTGTATATATTCTCCGCTTCTTGTCCGCCAACCTTTCTCCCCTGAACACATAAAACGGACTCACTAAGCGAAAGATCAGCTCCAAACAGAGACCCAAGGTCAAAACGCCTCGTTAAAGGAACCAAACTACTCAACCCCAAAGGTCGAAACGCACCCACACCACACGCCACACTTAGTCTCACCACCACTGGCTCGTGGTTTAGATCTGTAGAGGCTAGGGGATGTCTCCCCCTTAGTTGAAGGTGTAAATTTTCAATCCAATCCAAAGCAAGTTGAGAGCTGCCTGACTCAAGGAATCCCCAAAACCACCCTAAAACCTAGTAACCACCACTGAAACCCGGAAATCCATCCCGGAACAATCCCGCCCCATCCCTCCCCCCAAAGGGGGGCCAGCATCCGCAACGAGCGGCCGAGGGGCTGAGGAAATTGAAGGGAAAAACCAAGCCTCCTACACAAAAAGTTGCTGAACGAAACACCAGGAAAGCCGCATGCCAGCCCACTGGGTTGACGTTGGAAGGGGAGCAAAAAACTATATGTTTAGCAGATAGGTGGTTGGATTTCAACCACTAAACCACACTAAGCAAAAATGTTTCATATGTTTCCCAACGACAACGATGCAATCCATGCCCAAAGCGCCCCTTACCCCGCCCAGCTCGCCCCAAGCCACGCCCAGCTCGCCCCAAGCCCCGCGTCTCGATCGCTGAAACGGCGGAGCCGCTGAAGACCACCGAAGTCGCCTCCTCCAACTCCACCAGCTCCAAAGTCGCCCTCTCAGCACCTGGCCACCCACCCGCTAGCAAAAGGCCGGCCGAAAGGGCCAAAAGGATATGTCCTCCAGTAGAGAGATTAGAATAAGTTAGTGCCCGATGTTCTATCAGGATGTCTATTTTAGTCGAGGAACCCTCCCCCCAAAAAGGGTAAACGGGCAATACTAGGGGACCTAGAAGCAGTAAACCGACCGAAAGAACACAAAAGAACCAAACCCCAAACTCAAACCAGAGATGAAGAAGAAATCAACTTGGGGACAAAACAAGCAAGCAAGCAAGCATCACCCGTGCGAAATCCAAGCCAGCACGCAAGCAAGCGAGCCAGCCAGCCGGCCAGCCAGCGTTTTGCCAAGTGTGAGGCCTCTTCTAACTGGAAGAAGAAGGCTGCAAGTACCAATCAAAGATTTAACAAAGTTCGAAAACTCCAAAAGGGCCAAGTTCATGCTTGATTGGTCCGGTGTAAGTGTCTATCTCAGTTCGGCAATTCGGGGGTCCTCTGACAAGCTGGCTCCTCTTATCCAAGCTTTCCACCATCTGGACATCACATAGCATAAAACACGCATCTCCAAGGGGCCAGTTACCCAGAACATACAAAGAAAGGATTGGTACATCTTCTCAGTTCCTGAGTGGATTTTGTCGAACATCGAGTCCACACTTTTCTGTTTTCCAACCAAGACTTTGTCCAAGCCCATAATGGCGTCAAGTCCAGCGCCGCGCGGCTTTCCTCCTCGAAACCAAACCCCCCGTCCCGGGCTCCCGTTGGGCGGCGGCTTGCGCCTCCCAGCAGCTCTGAGCGCAGCTCCTGCGCCACCAGCAGCTGGCCCTCCTCCACCTGAGGACCTGGAAGGCGAAGGCGCAGCTTGGGCGCAGCTTGCGGCGAAGAGGCGGCCTTTGGACCTTCTTTTTGGGGGGGCGCGTGGGACTTTTGTCGCGCTCCGACGAAGTACACAAACTGGGGGTTCAAGTTCAAACAAGTTGGGGGTCCGGAATGCGCCGGGGGTTTCGAGTAAGGCGACATATATCCATTTCTGCACGCAAGGCGTCTGGCGATGTTCCGGGTTGGAGGCCGTGGTGTGCCGGTGGGGGAATCCCGTGAGGTGAAGCTCACTTCAAACCCGGTGCACCCCTGAAAACCATGCCGAACCGCCAGACCCGACCCCCACGCAGAAAGCCTTCTGCGAGGTCCCAATCTTCGGAAAACTGCGGTAAGATCTCCCAGGTGTGCCGAGCCTAATTCAGAGCCTCGCAGCTTTGTGACTTTTGCTTGGCACCATCCCCAGACCTTACTTGAAAAATGAGTCCCCCACCCCACTATTCAATTGCGTGTCTCACAGTGCACTAAAACCTGGAATTGAGCAAACTATGTCCAGTAGTGAACTCGTTTCGACGTGAATTTCTCGTGGCTTTCTTGCTACTTCTGAATCAGTGGGCTGAAGCGTTGGCTTATGGCTTCTGGTCGGGGTGGCTCCTTGTTCGGAGTTGGGTTTGTCCTTTTCTGGTGGTTTGAAAGGGACACCAAAAGGAAAGAAACTATTATAAACTCTTGGTTGACGTTGAAGGGGAGCAAAAAAATAGATTTTAGCAGTTAAGTGGGGATTTCCCACTAAACCACAATAAGCAAACATGTAAAATGTGTCTCAACAACAACCATGATTGCCGGGAATAGTGGCAGATCATTGGGCCATGCGGCATGGTCAAAACTCGGCTTGCTTAGTCGGAGGCCCAGGTCCGAAAGATATCTCAAAATCAGCAAATTCACAAGGGCATCCTCGAAAACTCAACTTCCTTCCAGTCGCTGGTTGGAAGCCCAGTGGTTTGGTGGTTGGAGGCCGTTTCCTGTTTACCCTCTACAAGAACCATGGATTCAAATCCCCAAACCACCAGCCATTCAGTGGAACCTTAAAAAACAAAAAAAGATCATTGCCAGAAAACATGACCTTCTAGAAACCTGCAAAAGCGCCAACCGGAATAGACGGAATAGATACCGGATTCATTTTTTGGTTTCCCTTTTATTTTTTCCGGTTTTCGGGTGTCGAATCGTGAATCTAGACAAAGCAACTAGCCTTCTAGACTCCTCCTGTCACCATGGGCTTTCTCTTGCCTCCAATGATGCCCCCAAGCCAGTTTTCCCCAAGTAGCCAAACGCATAGGGGGGGACAAGTATGAAACTACCCATGGCCTTTTGGAATCCTCCATGGGCTTGATTTTGCCAAATGATAGGCAGGCAAATTGTCTTCAAAGTCTAGGGGCCCAAAACTCGGTCCAAATCAACATGGAGCCCAAAACAGACTCCTCACCTTTTTTTTGTGCAGGTGATGTCCTCAACTTGACCCCCTGGCACCCTCCGAAAGCCTCCTGCTTCAAACCATCCCAGAGCTTAGTTGGGCAGATCTGCTCCGTAGCTTTCAGTTGGGGTAAAATGGCTGTGGGTCAAGAACATGTACCAAAATGGCACCTTGGTAAATGGAACCAGGGACTAAAACCTGTAACCCTGGCTCTTTAATTTTGACCCGCAGCCAAATGAGTCTTGGTTGTGGCTCCATTTTGATTTTGCAAGGGATAAGGTGTCAAGAAGACCCTTCACGGGTCCCGCACCCCCGTAAGTCGAGTCGCTGTCAGACTCCTGCGGCGGGTTGAGCACTGCGTAGGCAGTGGCCAGGGTCTCCGTGCCTGACGGCTCTGGTCTCTGGTGCTTTGGGATGCTGAAGCCGAAAGGAAACTTGCTTCTTCTTGTCATACTGTGGATGGTTGCGAAATCCATTTCGCACCATCGTTCAGAAACCCTGGTGTCGGATGATTCCCCTGTAAATACCAACAAATAATATGGTTTCAACCATGGTTTCAAAGTGGTGCGAACGGATTTCGTCCGTCCTCTTATCCTCCCTTCCTGAGTGGATTGGCCAAAATATGTAACCAACAACTGTTTGATTTAAACTAAATGTACAATGATCTTCCCAAAAAGTATAACGTTCATGAACTCTGGAAGTGAGTGCTTAGCAAAGTGAGTAACAATCAGTCAGCATACCCAACCACCACAGTTAGAACACATCTGAACATTTCAGAGGAAATAAACAGAGCTCAAAAGGGGGTTTCTCAAAAGGGGGTTCCTCTACAAATGGCTTTTGAGAATTCTATGTTAGTTTGTAGGAGCCTTACCCGCTTCCCTGGTACTGATCACAGGTTTGCCTGAAACCAACCAACCCCCCCCCCAAAAAAAAAAAGAAAAGGAAGAAAAGACAACACAACCTCAGATTGATCTAGAGGCCATTGCAAGAATCCGAGTCGCAACCGTGACCATGTCTTTGGCTTTCGCTGGATGGTTTGGTTTGGGGGAACCTTCCCATTTGGTTTCAAAAGGACCAGTTCAATTTCCCAAATCCATCGGGACCCAGTTGCAAGTGGAACAAAGGGGAGCATTCCTAAAGGGTCGACTCCATGTTAGTGGATCCATGCAAGCTCCGCCTTGCCATTTCGAGATCGCCCCAAGTGAATTCTGGACTTGGGAACCCCCTCCCACAGGGTGGGGCAAATTTGTGCGCTTCTTAGAGTGGCGCTCCTGTTTGACACAAAAGCCAATAAAGGCTGTGGGCTCCTGGTGATGTGTCGGTCCAAAACTGTGTTCTTTGTAGACCGTGAAAATGAAATGCTGAAACCATCAAATACACAAGTGACGTGAGATCTTTACTACCTTTACTCGGAAGCACTCCCTAGGGTTTTTTTTCATATTCTGCGAAGAAAAAAATGACACAGGCCCCTGCTCAAGGGTTAGGAGCTTTAGACTCGTTTGAGCCTCAATTGTGGCACAACTTACCAACATCAAAAGCCAGCTCTGCGACTCCTCCAAGAGGGGTCAAGTTTGATTGAACACCAAGGCCCCAGCATCCCCAAGAAACCGCGAAACTCCAGACAAAGACCACTCGGAGAAACCCCGCAAAGGCTCAGAAGAATGTATACGTTTAGGGGGCCCTGTGGAATTTCATTGAACAACCAACTCCTCCGTGCTGCCTCTCAGCACCACATAGTCCCCCGAGTAGAAGGACCAGCGCAGGGCGTCTTCCTTGCTTGAAGAGGCAAACGATTTCTTGCGAAAAATCTGCTCAAACAACCAGCCCCTCTGCTGAAAGGGCCCAGCCCCGGCACCCACTGGGGGATGTTTTTTTTTTTTTTTTTATTTTTATTTTCTTTTTTATTTTTTTGTTTTAAACTTCTTGTTTGGGTAGTGATGGTAGTGGTTTGGGGGTGGTCAGCTCTTGGGCTGCTCTCACTCCAGGTAGATACTAAAAAACAAGAACGGGAAGTAGGCCAAAACTGGGACCTAAACGCATAGACTGTCCTTCACACAGGCCCAGGTCGGTGGCTCCCAGAGCCCTGGAAGCTGAAAGGGCGACATGAGGCTCACTCTTTGAGTGGATTGGCCCCCAAAAAAGTGAAGACTTCTTATTTTCCACTAGGCACTGGGCCTGGCGTGTCTTTTTGGCCGCTTGGGCAAAAGAACCCTGGCAACATCTCCGTGCCTAGACGTTCTGACTGTAATGATGAACACGGTTCGAAAGTGCATTGTTTGCAATGCCAAAGTGCCTCTGGTTGCATAGGGTCTGAAAAAATGCGGGAACCTCAGCCCGATCACAGGGCCAGACTTGGACCTGAAACAAAGTTCACAACATGAGCTGGTTGAAAGGACAAATGGAGGAAACAAAACACAAGGACAACAAGTCAAAACAGAATAGACACGCCTGGCAGTCGATTCGCTTTGCGAGAAAGGTTCCGGATGACAGCGGCACTCGAAAATACCGGCTGCACCGCCGCCCTCCCCGTCAGTGCCATCTCTGGCGACCAGGGTGGCTGAAGCACTCATCGGCGAATTGGCTGAAACGGGTCTAAACGTCCGACCAGCGTTGGGCCAGGAAGGCTTTGGACCTTTACTCAAATTAAACTTGAAAACCCAACAGGAAAGAATGGGTGAAACCACTTTAGACAAAAGTTCAAGCTGAAAGGATAGGACCTTTCAGGCCATGACCATAACAAACGATACTGTGAGGTCGCTAGGAAAACAAAAAGGCAGATACAGGTTGGTGGCAGGACAGCTTCATCATCCGGCCGTGTTCTTAGACTACCCCTAGAAGCAATGGTATATGTACGCTGTGTGGGGGCTACAAGTTGAAGATACATCATGATATATATATATATGTATATATATATATATATGAAGATATATCATGATATATACATATATAACAAGAATGGACCCAAACATTCACATACATTATTTGTTTATGTTTTGTTCCTTACATATATATATATATATGTACGGATGTGTTTTCTATGAGGGGCATACTTGGTTGTGTCAACATTCGTGCCCTGCGCATCGCTCCGGTTGGCTCAAAGCTGTGAGCCCAACGCATTCGACCGCATCAGCTGTTGGCTTCCACCCCAAACCACCCGAAACGAGGACCTTGGCGACTTTTTACGCGTCTAAGTTGTGCGGAATCGTGAGTCCATTTCCCAGTGAAGAGCAGGTAACTATGAAAACCGGTTTGGACAATAATAGTTGTTCTAGAATCCCCTATCTTTGGAGGACTCTCATTTTGGAAGAAGATCACTTCCCAGTGAACAGTAGGTAACCAAGAAAACTGCCCTTCAAAAGCCAACAGGAAAATGGCCATGGGCTACCTGCTACAGTGGCTTGCCTGGGATCCACTGGGAACGGCTTCCCCTGGTTACAGTGGTGAACCCACATTTGTCCCCCCCCGAAACTACCCCCAAGGGAAACATGGGGTATACACCTACAATTAATCACCACTGCGTGAAGGGTATATACCACATCTTTCCTTAAGGGTACTGTTTTGGGGGAAGTGGCTGGGGATGGTGACATTGTGTTCACATCAAATTACACCATGGGTGCTGAATAGGGTGACTGAAAGAAGTCATAAATGTCATTTCCGCTTTCTCAAAGCCAGCCCCCAACAACTGCTTTTTGGAGAGTAGGGATTTTGCACATGGGACAAAGCAGTTGCATCCGTTGGCTCCTTCTCCCGGGAAATGCTACGTGCCAGGGTACTTGTCCCAATCCTCCTGGCGGATGTTTTGACATGGTTGGCACTGATTTCTAAGGGAAAAGTTGGGGCACGCACGGCGCAAAAGCCGCCCCGATCACCTCGCTGAATCGACTCACATCGATCGAAAGGTGGTGGCTTAGCCAACAACCAAACCCGAAGAACACAACGGCAGCCACACAAGGGCGGGGGGGGGGAATGGCATGTATGACTCTCAGACCAACCAACAAAAAGATGCCTTTTATTGACTTTTTGTTGCCATGGTCATTGAGTTGAACGGGAACCCTTTCCCCCCCAAAAAAATAGGCGCCACTGGGCACCTGGGACTACTTTTTAGTTGGAAGCATGGCAAAACCCAAGACGTCCGATCCAGTTGCTTCTCTGCAACAGCACTTCCCACATTTCCCCTTGAAACATCACCCGATCCAAAAGGACATTCACAAGTCAAGTTGGCAACCCAAAAGTGATTTGGTTTTGCTCTGCCACAAGGAGAGCCATAAGGATCCATAAGAAGCCCTGACCGCGGGACTAGAACGTCTCTCAAACGCCTTCCGCCCGGCCTCGGGGTCCTTGTACCCCAGCTGCGCGGCGAGAGAAGCCTGGCAAAAAAGTTGGTTGCCCTACTTGGACTGCCCACAAACCAGGGACCAGCACCAGCTCCGGGTGAATTGTAAGCTTTTTTGTTTCAGGGACGGTGCCTGGTGTTGGAAGATAAGGCCGGATGAGTGCAAATGGGCAATCAACCATCAGAAGGCTGAATGAAAAGATGAAGCTTCCACCCCTAGGAGGCCAGACCTCGTGACTCGAGGCCTTTGGGGAAACAACAGGCCCTCATATTTGGGTCCGAGGGGCTATAGGGAACCTGCAAGGGCTGCTCCGATTCAGATCAACACCGGCTGGAATCTCAAGCCAAGCATACAGGTCAACTTGAATCGGCCGGAGCGTCCCTGGTTCCGATCGGAAATTGGGATCGGCCACGGGGCAAGTGACAAGTGAGGCAAAAGAGGAATAAGGGGTGCCACCAAAACAAATCGTCAAAACCAAAAGGTATTGGAAGGTCTTAAATGGTTTCCCTCGAAGAAGACACACGCAAATACGGTCCAGTCGCTGAGTGAACCCAAGGATGCCTAGGCTATTTCCGTGCTACCGAGGAGCAGTCACCTTGTTGAAGAGCTTCGTGCGGACCTGAAAGAGCGGTCCAGTCGAGCGAGAGCCCCGCTGCTCTCGGCCACAGGGCTAAAACTCAAAACTCGCTGGGGCGATCGGTAGGGAATGAGCCAGGGTGTTGGGAATGAACCCAGGCTTTGACCCCCTTAAATGAAACCACAAGGGATGGCTCAGAGTGTTACAGGGGTCATATCCTCATTCCCTGCTGAACAGCAGCAAGAAAAGTCCAGCTGCGAAAATGTGCTTTGGGCACTATGGTAAGTGCTCTCATGTTTCACGTAACGCATGTTTTGCCCTGTCCACTAAACCTGGAAGCTGACCACAGGCACCTGCACGACCATACCTCGTTTTGGTGGTTGGGAGGATTTCTGGTCACCCTACTCACACCAAAAAAAGAAAAAAGAGGTGCAATATCCGCAAAGGTGATGTTAAAACCCAGACTTGGGGACACTGCACTTGCCTCATTCCAAAAACCTGAAATCAGAGATCTTGGGCAAAGGACCCTTCATGGGTTCTCGCCGCATTTTGCTCCCCTCCCACTCGCCGGTTTGTGAAATCGAAAGCCGAAGCGCCTGTTGCCGGAGCATCTCCAGCGCGTTTTCCTGGTCGCCCGCCTTCAAGTAGGCCATGAGGGCACCTAAGTGAGACAAAACCTGGCAGAACATACTCTCTTCCTGCGTGGAGTGGCAGGAAAAAAGTCAAGTTTTTATGGCAACAAAGTCTAAGGGCAACAAAGTCTAAGCTTCTTGTTTGCCACTAGAACGATCTTCCCACAAAGTATGAAGTTCATGAAGTCAGGAAGTGAGAAGAGGAGAGGTCAGCTCCCCTCTAACTGGTGGTTCGGAGTTTGGTGGTGTTCCAGGGTAATGTCCCATTTACCATGCACAAGAACCAGGTGTTCAAATCTCCCAACTACAAAGCCAAACCACAAAACTAAGGGTTATCTGACATTGGCCTCCAAATCCCCCGAATATAGAAAATTAAACGTGTTAGAAACGCCGGCAAAAGTCGTACGGGTGCCCTGTAAACTTTCAAGCTTGGATTCGGAGCTACCCAAAGAGGTAAGGCAAAAGTGGGCCATCTGTACATAGGTGTCCTTTTAGAGGAAATAGATGGGCTTCCCTGATAGATGATTAAACCACCAGGTAAACCAGGAATCGCCATCTATTTTTTGGACCAAAACAACCAAAAAGGACACCTATGCATCTGTACTGAAAAATTGAGCAAAAGCCGGAGCTGGTTGCAGCACATGCCACGAACTGACCACGAGAAATGCAGTGCCAGGAAAAAAAGAGGCACCCAACGAAACACAGAGGCCTTGGTTGACAACCCGTCCCCTTTTAGGTGCCGAGCTCCTCAGCCTGAATCGCGGAATCTCGTAAGAATCTTCACTGTCGACGGTAGCCAGCAAACAAACACCATGTTGAAGAGCTCGCTTCGATGGATTGGATCCATTAAGTCCTCAAACTGCTGGTTTTCACAAAGCGGTCTTCCCAGAAAGTATTCATTCAGTCCAAACATCAAAAGGAGCAACCAATTCAGTGGGCCAACGGTTTCCCTGTTCTCCCGCGATTGCAAGAAAGAAAAAGCGCCCCTTTTTGGAACGGACGATTCTTGGCGTGCCCTCCAAACCAAAAGGCAGGACAACCATGTACCGAGTACTGAAAAGATCATTCAGGCTTGTTTTCTCGAGGGGTCCCCCTTTGATTGGTTTGAACGGGAAGCCAACAAAATAACATCATCTTGGGGGTTCCCCCATTTTGCGACAAACCGAGTGCGATTTGCCTCGCTTTTGATTGTTTGCCATGGTCGATCTCACGCCTTTTCCTCTCGCGGAGCAGTGTTCGAACGCGGCATCAGCGCGTCAGTGCCCGATCTTAGAGAACACGATGGCGGCCACAGCCACCAAAAACAGCCTCAGATTGATGAAGGACCTACCTCAAAATGTCCAGAAGGGAAAAACATACATGCGGATTTGACTTCCAAAAGCAGGGACCCTGTTGGGGAAATAAGCATGTATATATATATATATGTAGATATGCGTGCTTTTTCTTGGTGGTTGATCTTCAAGGAAAACTCCCCCTTTCCCCAAAACCTCCGGTAATGGTTCACGGAAAATTCCGTGCGATGCTCCTTGGTTCGTGGCTGGTGTGCCATGCATCTTTTTCATTAAGTCGAAGGTAGCAGTTGCACTCGAACACCGAACGCGCAATGCACTCACATGAAACCGCTAGAATATCAACACTTGAGAACAGGACACTCCACACCCCGAGGGAAAAACGTGGAGGCTCTCCCCTATCATGCTTTCCCTTTCTTCCGCTACACTACTTCGGGAGCAGGTAAGCAGTCCTTCCAAGGCAAAATTGCAATGAGTTTCCAAAAAAAGACAGGAAACTTGAGGAACTAGGCCCTAGGACCTTCATCATGAGCCCAGCTCTCTTCGCCGAATCGGTGAGCCGGTCATTTCCCCAAAGAAAAAGAGCGCCCAGCCAGAGGATGGATCAACTTGCGTGGGCCTCTCTTGGGGTGAGATATTTGCCTATATCAGGTTGGTGTATGGTTCGGCCACGTGGTTCACGCGTACCCTTGAACTAAAACCCTACGCCCTATGGCGGGACCCATGCTGCTGGCTACATGTCCCTTTTGAACATCACAGAAGGAAACTCACCAAAACAAGTGGCCCAAAGGATGATGCTCGAAGCCACCGCGACATTTTTCTCGACACCAAGTAGACAAAAACCGTCAAAAACCGAAAACCCAGGGGCCCGGTTCCCTTCTGGGGATATCAGCCACTCTTGGAGGGAGTCGCAGAAATGCGCCAGGCCCGGTGCAGTTCCAAGGCGCTGGAAGACGAGGTAAGACAAGATCCAGGCTGCGCAGGTGGAATGGCCCTCGACCAGCCAGCTCAGCACCTCCAGAGTTCAGGGTTCGGGGGTGGGGTGGGGTGGGGTGGGGTGGGGTGGGGTGGGGTGGGGTGGGGTGGGGTGGGGTGTGGGGTGGGGTGGGGTGGGGTGGAGTGGGGTGGGGTGGGGTGGGGTGGGGTGGGGTGGGGGGTGGGGTGGGGGGTGGGGGGTGGGGTGGGGGGTGGGGGGTGGGGTGGGGGGTGGGGTCGGGGGTGGGGTGGGGTGGGGTGGGGGGTGGGGTGGGGGGTGGGGGGTGCGGGATATGGACACAAACAAAAGCCTCAACGGAAACAAAAATGCATGATCAGTAGTTCTAACAACAAGTATTTAAACATGTAACAAGGAGGCTGGCAGGGGTTGGAAGGGCTGAGACAACTGGCCGGGCACACAAAAAACAAAAAACACATCTGGCCCTTGAACAGAATAGCGAAGACATACCCCCCCTTCAGATCTTGGTTGACGTTGAAGGGGAGCGAAAATTTAAAGTTTAGCAGTTGAGTGGTTGGATTTCAACCACTAAACCACAATAAGCAAAAATGTAAATCACATGTTTCCCAACAACGACCATGTTCAAGCCCAGTCCCCAATATAAACACCTTCAGCACTAAGAAGATCAAATCGCAGCCTCCTTTCTGCAGTCCTTTGGGCCAGAGAAGACCGGAAACCCTTCCACAAGTTGTGGCTTCGATTGAAAGGGTTGAGGCTTGGCCGATACAAAGAAGTAATATGTGATTTCTCCCAGTTTTGCCTACCCTACAAATAGATTCTTCGGTTAGAGAACTTTGGACTGACTGCCAGAGCTGTCCCTGCCCACTGGCCCTCCAAACGCTCTTTCCAGTTTGGAGACCCCAGGTCCAGGTTAGCTCAGATGCCCACTGGGCATGGGAAAAACAGGGCATCCTCTTTTGGTTGGTTCAGTTTAAAGGGGAAGCCTTCCAAGAAAAAAGTGGAAAGAAGGGGCGGAATCCACTGGGCAACTGGGATCGGAGCTTTAAAACGGCTGGAATTAGGACCCCAGCAAAAAAATAAATCGTTTTTGCCTGGTTGGTGGAAAACAACGGGAACCCCCAAAAAAGCAAAAAAAGTCGCAAAAAGGGGAGCTAATCCTGGCTGGAAGAAACTACCTCCCTGCGAGCGGCCCAGCTCCAACGGGGCCCTGCGAGCGAACCAAAGCTCCAACGGGGCGAAGCGCCTTCTTGGAAGGCTCGACCTCCCAGCGGAAGAACAGCGGGTGGGAGGCCTTCGAACGGAGAATGGCGGGTCAAATGGGCGTCTCAAAATCGATGAATCGGCAAACCCCAAAACGGCGAATGGCGTTCCTGACGAAAAAAAATGAGCAACCCAACTCAGGATACCTCAAAGCAGATCTCAAAATTGGCAAACCCGAAAAAGAGAATGGCGTTCCTGTAATTACAAAACAAGACAACACATAGGCGCCCCAACACAGGATACCTCACAACATGACACTTCCGAATGAAACCAACTCAGCTCCAGAAGCAAACCCACCATGAAACCATAAACAACAAACAGGCCGAAACCCATATGGCCATCTTGAAACCGGGTGCATCCCAAAACCACCGCTCAAGGATTCGGATCCTCCGCTGATGTGTTGACCCCAAATTGCTTCTGGGACCCTGTGAAATGGGCCATCGTCTGCCCAAAACCCATGGGCTTGGGAAAGTGCCATCTGCCTCTAAGTCGACTGTCGCTTCTCGATGGACGTTGGAAGGGGAGCAACATGGAGCAACAAATTGAAAATTCAGCAAATAAGTGTGGATTTCCCATTAAACCACAATAAGCAAACATGCAAAATGTTTCCCAGCAACCATGACTTGACCTTACCCTATTTGCGTTTTGATGGCGCGAATAGGGGGCCCGGAAGTGTCTCAGAACCCACTTCTGCCACGCCACCATTGGTCCAGCGGATGCCCGTTTGGCCTTTATGTTTGCGCAAGGCTTACCCCTCAAAATCCACAAAGCGCCATGTTTTCCTGGGGTCAGTATGTTGTTTGATGCTTTTCTTAGGGTTGTCACGGCCAGCAAATGGGTGTTTCCTTTTATCCCATCACTTAGGGGGTGGCTTTGACAATCGCACAATACAGCAATGGGGCGTGTCTTCCCAATTTCCAACCCTCAGCAAGCAATTGCGTTCTCTGCAACTTGTGTTTGTGGGGTGGAGGCTAGGGCGCCGCCAGAAGTTTCCCATCTGGCTGCAAAAAGAACCAGGGGAAGCCATTCCAAATCGCCAGTCCAAACTGCCAACTGGTAACATGAAATGATGAACTACACCAATAGCAGACCTGAGGCCAATTCAGGGAATGTTCAGCCGAGCTTAGGTAAAGGAACCTTCATGATGGATGATTTCGTAATACACCAGGAAAGCTTGTTTCGACTTGCGCAGACTTATCGCCGCGCCTTGATGTTGTAGGTTGCTTCTGCCTGCTGCACTGCCAACCTGGAGATGGTAGCCGCCTTCTGAAAAGCAGAATCCCGAAAAACACACACACACACACACCCATTGACGCACCAAACCGGCTTCCTTTCTTGGGTTTCCCTTTGACGCCACCCCAAAAGCGGGCACCAACTCCAAAGAAGAAACACATCATAACTTGCACTTTTTGGCGCCCCCTCAAAGGTATTGTGCTCTCAGGGTTCCAACTGGTTTGGTCCCAAAGACCCCTGCAAAGAGTTCAACTGCTCGATTTTTCCCATGCGGCCCCGGTTGTCTTGCTGGCCCACAGCTATGCAGCACACTGGGCTTATTGGGAACTCCCTCAAACACACATCACCCCGCCTTTGGGGAAGGAACAAAACGTAGCGGCGTGTTGTGAACATGGGTTTGAGGGATGGTTGGAGTAGGACAAGCAAAGCTCAGCACATGTCTTTCTTTTCTGGGAAACACACCTTCATCAAGATGGGTGTGGCTCAAAATTAAAGACCCAGGGTTACGCAGGTTTTAGTCTTTGGTTCCATTTGCCAAGGTGCCATTTTGGTACATTTATTTGAGCCCCAGCCAGATCCTTTGAAGGGGTCATCGGAACAACATGTGCTCAGTCGTCCCACTTTGGGCGCCTGTAGAAGGCGCGGTCTTGGCTGTACATCAGCCTCCCAGGATTTGGACCATACGACGCGAGGGGAGTCCGCACGCTTGGTGAAGCTAGGGCTTCAAAAGGGCTTCAAAAGGTCCAAAGACGTGTTTCTCTTCTTTGTTTTCTCCTCTCTTTTGGGGAGTGGGTTCTTAACTTTGAAGTGAAAGGCCTTAAAACAACAGTGGGGTCAACTTTGCATGATTGTCCGTTCACACCCACGCAGGAACAATCAGGAACATGTATGGGGAAGGGTCCCTTTGCCCCCCTCCATGTTTTTGTAGGCGAAAAGCTTATATCTTTCGGGCCGGTAATAGAAAGCAAAAGAAACCTAATAACGAGTTCAAAGTTTGGAAACTGAACCGGGAACGAGGTAGAGGCTCAGCGAAACCCTGGGTTTTCCCCAAAAGGTCACTAGATCAGCATAAATTACTGTAACTCACCATTCTAGAATGCAGAATTTGTAGGTAATGTGCATGAGTCAGATTGATCCGGATCGGTGCGCTCGACAATGCATTCTCGTTTTTCCCCCAAGGCTTTCCCAAGTCAGACCCTTTTGAAGTGCCTCAAAGAAAGCAAGGGCGAGGGGGTTTGGGGAACATTGACTACCTGGCTTGCGGATTCGAAAGATCAATTGGTGAGCTTCAATGGTCACAGGGATTCACGGACCTGCCACAAGAATCCTAAATCACCGTTAAATCAAGGCCAACCACTCGTTGTCAACATGCCTCCAGACGGGCATGTCCAAGTTCACATGTGTCTTCCTAACTTCCTGAGTGGATTGGCCAAACAAATCGGAACCCTTGCCTGATTCGCCCCACTAAAATGCTCTCCCCAAAAAGTCTAAGGCCAGCTAGGGTTGGTGAAAGGCATTCGCGGCGCGCGAGAGCGACCCAACGAACCACTCTCAGCTTGGACCACGATTGAATAGATCCATCCAACAACATGTCACATGAAGGCACTCCTCATGAGCTCGTTTCCCCCAAGGGCCCCCTCAATCCATTGACGCACGGGTGCTTCCTCCAGCAAGATGCCGTATGGTCAAGAACAAAAACGAAGGCACACACCCAGCTCCTTTCTGCAGGCCACACTCACTTGGAGCACTAAAATACAATTAGGGACAGTACAAATCCCTATGTTGGTCCATTTCAGCATCACCCGCACAAGGTAACTCACATTCCTCCCAAAAGGCGACGTTTGAAGCCACCCATTGATGGAAATCTAGGGGGCCCTGCACCAGTCTTTCACGTCTGCCACTGCATCTGGAAATGTCCCCATCAAGCCCTCTCGACCGCGAACCGCGCCTGATACCTCCGCTAGCCTGCGGATTGTTGTAATTGCCTGGGCAAGGCGGAACCAGAACATGATATGCCCCTTTTTCTGACCCGTCTGACCCTGCCAACTGGCCAAAAAAGAGGACGAAATGTTGCAGTCCTGAAAACTCTGCCAAGGTGCGGCAGGAAAAGTCGGCCTGGCTGCCGCTGCAGCAATCCGTGCCTGCCAAGGAAGTGTTGCTTGACGCCTCCCTAAGCAACAAGTGCGAAACCATAAAGCAAAAAACCCTACAGCCTTCCCAGTGATTCTAGTTACCGTCATAGCGGGTAGTCAGGGTTTCTTACCTCTACAGTAGGTTTTACATCATGGTTTCCCCGGGGTTACCTACTAGAGTGGTAGCTGGAAGCACTGGAGCCCAAGACAAAGAACGCCTAACCCTGTTGAGGACAAATAGGGGCACGCCCCTAAGACTAAACAAGAAAACTGTCGCTTCCCACTATGACACACCACAAGTTCTAGATGAGCTCGCCCAACAACAAGTATGTCTGCGTTTTTGGCAGCTTCGTAGGACCAACAAAGCAACAACACCCGCAAACAAAATGAAACACATCCATGAAGTTGTACCCCTTTTCCTTGACACCCACCCCGCTTTGAAGCATCAGGCTGGACTTTGAACATACCTCTTAGGAAGTGCTTAGGGAGTTCTTAGGCACACAAGCAATTCTGGGCCCCCGATTCTTCACAAAACATCAAAGCTTATGGTTTGGTCTTCTTGGCCCGCACGTGACATACACAAAACCAGGAAGGTATGGATGACAAGACAAACTCGCCTATGGCAAACCGCCGTCATTCCTTCGAGGCCCTGAGAAGAATCCCCACTTGGCAGTCCCAGGTTCTGATCAGCTGAAACAATGATGTTGTGCCAGCCGCGTCTAACTCATCATTGAAGAACAACCTTCCAGTTGGTTAAGACGCCTGGAACAAATGAGCAAATATGTCCAGCAGTGATTTATCTTCCTTTCAACAAGTTCACACCAACAAGGGGGAACAAACATATTCCTTTCAGCAATTCCTTTTTAAAACCAACAAGGGGAGGGGGGGGGAAAAAACAACATATTATTTTCAGCAAATGGCAGCAACATATTTTTAAGTTTGGAAATTCCAAACTGGTCTTTGAAGGCCTCGCATTTGATCCCCGAAAGGATACCTCCCAAAAGCACAAACTCCAGTACAGAGGTTAGAATAAGTCGGTACCCGAGTTGTTTCTTTCTGTAGTCTATTTTAGCAGGGGGTTCACCCTCCCCCAAAAAGTTTGCAAAAGGGCACTACTGGGGGACCTAGAAAGGATGCATCCCACAAGCATGAACTTTACAAGAGCATCCTCTGATTCGGTGACCCACATCTGGGATAATTACTCCAAGAAGCATCTTGTCGAATTCTGTGTTGCATTTCGTCTGCCCGAAAAAGAGAAAACCGTTTTGGACACCCAAGGAAAAATGGCTCCTAGAAGCATTCTAGACGCTGCAGCCGTCCAGCTCAGCACCCAAGCGAACTGCGCCCGTCGCGTGCCTACCGCCCAGAAATCGTAGGACATGGGCGCGGCTGAGCCGAACACGATAGGAGCCTCAGCTCTGCCTTCCCGTAGAAATGCCAAGCAAATAGGAGGACGGGGGGCGGGGAGGGGGGGGTGGGGCAGGCTCCTTTTCAGTATCTCGGTTTAAAAGGCGGGACCAGGCGAGACAAGCGTTCGGAAAAGGGGGGGGGGATATTTCTGGCAACCCCCCCCACCCCACACGCGTGAGGTTCCTTCTCACTGCCTAAGTGGATTCGTGAGAAGATGTCCTAGACATGATTTTCAGTTCTACCCACCAAAGGGAACCATGGGAGCTGAGTAAAACGGCGTCTCCTGAACTGATGCGAACCCTCCTCTCTGCACATTGACCTGAGAAAGATCGAAGGCTGACGAAAGCTGCCATCAGAAGCGGTCAGAAGAGCCAGCACTGCCTCATCGTCCGTGCCCCTCACCCCAAGCTTGCCAACCAGACATCTGCAAGGCCATGCCGCAAAGTACTCCCTGCCCAAATCCAATGGGGAAACCCATCCTGCATGGGCGCCCACAATTTTGCCACCCCGGTGCAAAAATCCTCAAGCAAAGCCGCTTGGTGGCCAGTCTTCGGGATAAAAGGGGTGACATTTGGGAGGGCGGGCAGTGAAGAGAGGACTGCCAGACCTTCAAGAGCCCAAGCTCAGCTTCCCGAACCGTACCATTGAGTAGTTTCTCCAGAAAACCTCGCTTGCTTTCTGCTCCCCTGCTAAAAGTTTAACTTTTAGTGGTTTGATGGAAAACCCCTTAGTTGGCAAAAAGTTAGAGTTTTAATATCCAAGTAAAATGCACCAACAAAAAGCACCAAGCAAGAATTGTTTTAAGCATGATGACTAAAGAAATGGCTGGGGAACGACCCCTGGATGCCTATCGGTTGGTGAGTGGCACCAAGCTCTAAACAAGAACGGGGAGGTCGCTTGCCCCCAAAACCAAGCCCCTCACGACGCAGTACATCTGCCCGTTCTTGAAGCCTGAGCACGTCGACGGATGTGAATCGCCGATAGGTGGCCGAGACACCCACACTGGCGCACACCGAGCCTTCTGAGTTGACTGGTTTGGCGATGACATGGAGAAGCTGTTAGTCGGGCAGACAAGTTGGGGCGGATCGATTCTCCGGGTACCGGGACCGCTCAAGCTGGCAATCAAAAGGCCTCAAACATGATCAGGGATGCACGCGCAATCTTAATGGGCAAAGCCGTCTGGTTGAAGCCTTGAAGCAAATTACGCGCGGTTTCACCCACAACTGCCTCGATGGTTGCCACCAATGGTTGCATCCCGCCCGCCCTTTTGCTACTGTTTCGAAAGACCCGCAAAAATTGCCGAGCAAAAGCTTCACCCCCTCCCTTCCCGATTCCCCGAGCAGCATGGAATTCCCTCTGCAACTGACACAGGGCTCCCTATATTTCCCCTTAAAACATCACCCCCACCAAGGGACACTCACCTTTCATGGGCCAAAAAGGTGATGTTTAAAATCACCAAAAGGGGAAATATAGGGACCCCTGTAACATGGAAGCCTACCAAAACTCCATGAGGAACTTGGTCCAATCCTGGGAACCTATCGTCAGGTTCCGTTCGAGGCAGGGACTCCCACAAACAACAAGCACCTGCGGGAGAGTACCTGGAAGTTCGGAGAAACACACAAAAAAAAAAAACATGTATCTGGCTAACATGTCAAACGTGGGAGGAAGGGTTTTGCTTTGGGCTCTTTATTCATTGGCGTTGAAGGGTGCTCATTGCTGTATGTCGAAAGGCATCTCAAAACGGGGGTCCAAAAACAATTTGCTTTGCAAGTGTCTCCTCTAAATCATCTGGCATTTGGATGACGTTTTAAGTTGACCCCTTGTGACTTTTAAGAAATTCTGATCAAATCGGACCTGGTTGAAAAATGGGCCTATCTTGTTGGGATTGTCCCAGACCTCTACCCGGATTTGCTGGTTTGAATTCCTTGCTGTCATCCCCCCCCTCCCCGTCCGCCCGGAGAAATTGTCCTTTCTTGGCAAATTATAGACATTCGCCAACCCAAAAATTAGGGATCCCTATCTAGAATCTAGACGAAATCCTCATGGACGTCGCAAAATCTCAGAACATGCGGTCGTCATATCGACAAACTTGCCAAATTTGCCCGGAATAACTTAGAATGGAGCCACAGGGTAATTCCAAACCACAGTCAGAAGACAATGATGCGGGAACGAATTTCAACTGGGTGGACATCATTTGGCTGGGGATTTGGGCGACTTTGGAGGTGGCCCCCATTCAAATTCATAGCCACGCGCCTACCTGTCCCAAACCCCCAAAGCGCACTCTTTTCTTCGGTGGTTGATTGTTCAGGATAGCACTCGAGACAAGAAGGAATCGCACTGGAAGTCTGAACGACTAATTGGTCAGCGGTCACAGCCCCCACCCTTGAGTACAATGTGTGTAAGTATTTAGGCAAGAATACTCCTTTGCCCCGTGAGGCCCAGCAAAAAGAGAACCTTTGAAAGGAAATGTATTTTGCTCAAGGATAGCTCCATGGAAGGGACACTGCAAGCCTCTTTTGGAGAAGCTCATGGCAAAAAGATGGGAACCCAACAAGGGAAAACCAAAAAGGAAAGATCCAGCAGGGCTTGTGTTGGACTGACCCCTAGAAACCATCCCGTGTGGGTTTCCTTAAGCCTGGGGTTCAACCCCCCTCAACAGAATGCTTGACCCAATTTGGATGATTCCCCTGGTTAAATCATGGTTCTGTGAACCCCCCTTTAAATTAATGGTGGTTTGAACCAAGTTTAGGGGGAATCCCTGGTTCATTGGTGGATTCGCCCCAAAAACACACTAAACCATGCATCTTGTGGTGTCCTTTTAAGGATTCCCACGTCTTTTTTCGGCGGATTCGCCCACGAAAAACCACGCGACCCACCCCCACCCCGGCGCTCTCCGGCTGTTTACCGCATCCCGAGGGGCCCATAGACTTCTGGATGTCCAGCTGGCTGCCCGGGGCGAACTGCACGATGCCGGCGTCAAGGAGCTGCTGCCCCAGCATGCGGTTGGGGTACACCATCCTAGGCTGGAATGAGGACCCCAGCAAAAATATACATCTTTTTTTAACTGGTTAGTGGAAAACAAAGGGACCCCAAAAAAGAAAAATAAAAAACAGGGAGCTTATTCTGGGGTGCACCATCCTAAGGCCAGGCGGGCTGGCCGAAACCCAAGCCCTGAATGGGGTGGGGCTGTTTGGGTGGGGGGGCCTAGAACGCTTCTTGGCCCGGGTCTGAGTCTTTCTGTGCAAAAACGATTGGAATGGAGGACAACGTTCAAACCAAACAGACCGAGGATCATTGGCGCTCGCTTCATCTCACACCCCGAACCCGCTGGGCCCATGTTTGCATGATCTGCACGCGACAGAGTCAGCAAGGACACTGGCTTCCTCCCAATCAAGGTGGGAATCCTATCAACGTGTGGCAGGAAACGCAAAACCCGACGCCAGGGCGACGAGCTGAGTCACACGGTTGGACAGGGAGATGACTTGCTGTTCCTTTCAGCGCACTGTTTAGATCAAACACCTGGGGCCGCTTGGAAGGGGTTCTTGGAAGAGTCCTGAGAACCCATCGAGGGGGGGGCCAACTGTTGAAACCAGCCCAGCTGATTACAACAAACAGGAAACGCCGTGAACACCAGCCAGCCTCCTTTGGAATTCCTGCGTAGCTGGGGCCTTGCGCCAAGCCACGTGTAGTTGTTCAAATTGCCCAGGTCATAATAGCGCCTTGGCAAAGGCAGGCGAAGCACTGAACCACGGATCCGTCTGCAGCAAAAAAACAAAGATAGTGTGGATGGACGGAATTCTGCACCACCTAACAAACTTTGGAAAGCAGATTCCTCTCTAGATACCAACAAAAACAATGGATTCAACCATGATGTCAAAGTGGTGCGAACGGATTGCAGAACCATCCAAAGCATGTCAGTGGTTTCAAAGAATTGGACCACTGGGTGAGCCCCAAATGGCCAACTCTTTGCTCAGGCTTAGCTCCTAGCTTACTTCGCTCTGCAACGCTAGCTTCGGCTCGGCCTAAAGATGGTATATCCTATACTAAGGGGATGGTGGGAGTGGAAGCATCTTTTGGCTTTCCATTTGGCTTCCCATTTGGCATGCTCAAGGGTGCAACGCAAAGCCTGTTCCCTTCCCTTTGTGCCACTTGAGGAAAACTGGCACGGATTTCCACAACCATCTCCTGGGGGCGTTTCTCTGAAGCGCGTGTCCTCGTGAGTGCCACCGAAGACACGGTATCATCCTCAAACGGCGTTCAGAAATGATTGCTATAGGTGGCGAGAATAGACGATCTCGGGACTAACAACAAAAAACCGATCGATCCCCAAACCGCGTCTCGCTGAAACAACAACAAAAAGACGAACGGCTTTTGGCTCGCTGCAGCCCCCCTCAACCCCATGCTTTCGCCCCCAGGCGCCCAGTGAGCTGAAAGTTCTTGTCGCCCTGCACGAAGCCCACGATCCACGCCAGCAGCAGCGACAGCGCAAAGAAGATCAGCCAGGACCTTTGCGCATACGAGCCCTTGGAGCCTTTGGCGCGTGACAAGGACATCAGTTTTTCAGGCTAGAGGCATTACTATATTATATATTCCATGTGTTTTCTGCGTTTTGTAAATACATATATGTTTATACATGTACATATATATAGATATTGTTATATGCATATGAATATATATATATATATATGTGTGTGTGTGTGTAAATCTATACATGCATTTTCTCACTCAGTAGGCACAGAGACAGTGGGGCGTAGGAAACCATGAGCAACAAGCCTCAGCCAGGCTTCTCAATAAGCAAGGTCTCATGTTCTTGCCGCCGTTCATGTCGACGATGGCTTGAAAGAGGGTAGTGTGCAACCGCTGTGGTTTTCTGTTGGTTTCCCCGCGAGTTCGCCAAAGCGCGCTATGCCCCTGTCCTCCACGTGTGATTGAAAAAGAGGATTCAATGTTTAGCCAAAGCAACTGCTTTCCCAGCCTGTGCGAATGACCATGGTCTACCATTCGCCAAACCTAAGGCAAGGAATCCTCCAGAAAGGACCCTTCATCGGTCTTCTTGTTGCTGCCCGATCAGCGAGCGGTGGCAAAAACTAGAAGGTTCATGACAATGGGCTTCGGTAAGGGAAACCTGAATTTGTCTCAAAATCGGGGAACTCCGAAACTGGTGGTCTTCCCCTTCTCTCACTTGAGCGGATGGGCATGGATTCCTGGATGGGCCAAACAAGGCCCACTTTGTACATTTGCCAACATGGTGTTCCCAAAAGTCTCTAAATTCCAGGAACTCAGGAAGTCAGTGTTGGTTTCCTAGCCAGCCCCCAAAGTTGACCCCATATTCATCAACCCCAGTTTATTAATAGGGGGTGTTTTGGGGAATCAATCCGCCTTGGGAGGCCCTACTAACAAACTGGGGTCGATTAATATGGGGTCAACATGGGGTGGGGAGCCTTTCTTGGTTTCCTTTAAGCCACCTGCAAAGCGGGTATCCCCCCCCCCCAGAACCACACCTTTTCCGACCTCCGCCTTCCTTCCTTCCTTCCGCCCAAGCGGCGGCTCGCGCTCGGCCGCCACGCCGCTGAAGATCCGAAACCGGCCCGTAGCAGCCTCCGTGCTTTTTGTTGCACAGCGCGAGTCCCAAACACGGCCGTTTCGGCACGGCCAAAAAAAAGGGAACCAAAGGGAAACCAGCCAACCTTCCCTGGATTTCCCTTAAAAACAATCCAGCAAGCCAAATTTGGGTGGGGAACCGAGTCCGATGTTGAGACACACCCATCTGCCAGGTGCAGCGGAGCTTTTCATAGTGATGAAGGTGACTAGTGCCAAATAGTGCTGGGCCATTGCTTGCTGGCGCGATAAGTAGGAAATTAGAGCCGGTTTTATGGATTCCCAAAACAAGGGGAAACCATGGGATAGTTTGTAGGGGTCATTCCAACTCATTCCCTGCTGAGAACCAGCAAGAAAGACGTCACTTCAACCACTCACTCCAAAAGTGCAGAATAATACGGAACCCGAAAGACACACAATTCTTTAGAGGAATCATCACCTTCTAGGATTTTCCAGGATCACCCCCTTTTTGGGGTTGTACTTTTAACATCCCAAACAAGATGAGCACTCAAATTCTCATTGAGTGCCGGGCATTCAAAGGCCCGGCCACGGCAGATTCCCTAAAAAAGTTGCAAGTAAGCCAACCAAGAACCATTGTAAGCTCCTCCCTGCCGAGTCCCAAGCACAGGACAAACCAAGGCAACCAAACCATGGACCCCTCAAAGAAGGAGCAGCAAAGACCTCCTGACAAGCAGAAAATTGTTGGTGGGGTGGATTGGCAACTCCGACAGCAAACAATCAAAGGGTTGAATTTGAAGGGGGCCCATTCACACCTGAATGGATTGGCTCAAACACAAGGTAACACACCCGTTTCGACCCTCAGACAACACGGGTACAAACGTTTTCGCACTCGTCGCGAGCACTCTTGCACCGCGTAAGCTTCACAACATGCGAGCACGTCAGGCCATGTGATTTTCAATGCCACTTGGGCGTCCCTGTCATGGGCGCATTATCATACCCCCAACCCCCCCCCCCCCCCCCCACCCTCCCGCAACCACCCCAGACAGTCCCATCCAATCTCCTGTATGAAGCTTACACCAAGAAATCGATGGCAGGCGCACTGGCTCCAAGCAGCCGTGTCACCAAACACAAGAAAACAGCTTGCCACTAAAGAACTTTTTTTTGCCAACAAGGAGTCAGCCCAGAAAACTCAGGGAGTGAGACCAGCTGGAGAGAAGGGCCTGAGAAGGGTTCCACATGCACAGCTGGATATGGGTTAGTCAATCACAAGGGAAGCGGGGTATAAAACCACCCGGCTGATGTAAAACTTCCCTTGAAGCTTGGCGCAACTCTGACAACACAATAGCAACATACGATAAGATTTCTGCAGTTGGCCTACCATTCCCAATTGGTGGGGGGAGACCTCAGGATTTCCCCCTCCACCCCCGGGCTTGAAATATAGCGCGCCTTTGCACCGATGCACAGCACCAGGAAGAGGAGCATGAACACGGCGATGTAGCAGAAGACGGGCTGGGTGTAATGGATCTGGAAGGCCATTAGACCTGACAACGGTTCCCCAGATGGGTAATAGAAGGAGCCACATAATTACCGACATGATTCTTCTTATCATCCTACAATCATGACTTCCCGAAAACGGAAGCTAATCACTTAGGCGCTGTGATGTGTCAAACTCGGGGGACCCCGCGAAAAAAAAAACGTGGTTTTCCTGCTGGTCTCCCTTTGGAGGCACCCTGAGAAACAGCCACACACACTAACCTAAGCTCCGATTGCCTAACCTGCTGAGCTGGCTGACTGGTCGGAAAAGTTCAGACACTTTTCCAGGGGGAGCTTCCCATTCTTTCCCGCGATCCTTTTGTTCCGGGAAACCAGCAGAAAAGGGGAAGCAGCGATCGATTATTGAAAAGAACAATGGTTGAAAAGAATGGATACCGAATCAACCCTAGAACTTTTTGAGGCTTGGCTTGAATGATGAAGACATCATCCAACAAAGCATTTAAACTAGGCCAACTCAGAAGGGACTGCAAGTTGCTAGCGATTGTGTGACCGACTGCGGCCAGTGGGGCGCGCGCAAGCGCGAGTAGGATGCCGAAGCCTCTCCCAAAAAAAACAGGGTCCCGCAGAGGAATCGGCATTTCAAAGTTGCCTCCAAAATGGATGGCTTTCTTGCGAGGCCCAATTGTAATCCAGAAGGCACCACTACTGATTGAAACCACAATAGTCCATGACCCCAAGTTGCCTGCGAGTGTTTCATCTGGCCGAGGAGCCCTAAACATGCTGCATTATTTTCAAACCCCTTTCGAAGCTCACCAGCAAGGGGGCTACTCTACAAGACATGCCTGTACCTTGGGGCGTTTTTGTTGACAAACCCCCGGTATGAAAAGAGGGGTTGCGATGGAACAAAAAGTCCCGCACCCTTCACAGCAATCCCGCGACTCCTGACTAGGTTGGAGAAGTCAACTTTACCTCTGGCTCCTAGAAAAAACAGGGCGAAATCTTGTTGCCTGAGAACTGGCCCATGCAATTTACATCTCTTACAGCTTGGAAAAAGACAACTTCCTAAGAGCCGCAACATGGGAGCCGCGTCCGAACCTACAAATTCGACCTTGCGCAAGCAAAAAATCGGACCCAGCGACTAGAAAACTGCCCTGAAGCAACGAACGGAGAAATGGCCAAGGGCTACCTTCTATAGTGGCGAAGGCCTGGGATTTGAGTTGGGTCCTTTCGGGGGACCCACCCAAAATCAATGAGACACCTATGTGAATGTTATACATGTTGTTTATCAAATAAATAGTCTGTATTGAAATATATATATATATATATACATATATATACATATATATACATATATATATATATATATATTACTTCTCTTCACCAAATATATAAACAAATAAATAAACATATATATATATATATATATATCCATATACGTATTTTTGGGTTCCATACTGCAGGTCGCGAGGTGTGAAAACCAGCTGCATCTCTAGGGCAAACAGCATACCGGTCAAGCAAAAGCTTGCCAACCAGTTCACACACACACGTTTGTTCCTGTGAACTCCATCAAGGGGGCTTAAGTGTGGAGCATGCCCAAGGCTCGCAACCAGTTGCCAACAAAGAAATGCAGAACCTGAGGATTCTGCCCGCTTTGCGGGTCACACAAGGGTACCGGGTCAAACAAAAACAAGACAAACAAGGATCAACCAAACAAAAACAAGAACAGGTATCAAAAAGAAGCCGTCAAACAACAATTCTACTATGGTTTTGGCCAACGAGCTCGGAGCAACCTTAACTTCTCCCCCGAATTTGGGATTCCCCCGGCTCATGGCCAAGCGGTGCTCAGCGGGCCGGGGCGCTGTAGACCAAGACGAAGAGCCCCCAAGGCGCCAGCGAACACCTTGGGAGTTGGGCCGTGCGGATGGATGCGAAATCCTCTTAGGCACCACCTAAGCAACCATGGTTGAAACCATTGTTTGTTGGCATTTACGGGGGAATCAGCATTCCAGGGTTTCTTAGGCGGCGCGAAATGGAGTTCGTCCATCCACAGCACTTTGTGTTTACAAGTCCACGGCTCACTTCCGATCGAGTGGATTGACCAAAGGAAGGAACCAAACTGTTTGCTTGAGACGAAAATGACAACCAAACCCAAATGCTTGCCACTAAAGTGGCAACCAAACCCAAAAAGTGAATAAAGTCCAGGAGGGCGTGGGAATTTGCACAATCCGAAGCCCACACATGTGAGGTATTTCCAAGCTCCTTACCGTGGCTCAACTGCACCTAAACCATCGGAGGCCTAATATCGTCTAAGCATCCCCACCAAACTAACTAGCTAGGTCTTCCTGAGTGGATGAGTCAAAACAAGTCCAAACTTTTTAACTACCACCAAAATCGTCTTCCCAAAAAGTTTGAGGAAGCCTGCAGGCCAGCTTTCCGGCCAATTCCGTGGAGTCTTGCGAGTCTGGACGGCCAAAAAAAGAGAAGCGAAAACCCATAAAACATCAACCAGCTAGATCACTCTTTCAGTGCCCGCAGGTTTGTTCCGCCGGGGGGCACGATCAAGGGGACGAAGTTCATCTTTTTCTTCGGAAGAGGCAGCCAAACGCCCTTGTTGAAGGCCTGGAGCCCGTCATAGCCTGGGCGAAGAAGGTTCCGAACCGCGCATTGAAGACTGAGCAAGAGTCAAATGGCTTGTTGCCCCCAAGGGGCACGGGAAAAGTAATCTTGTCTTCCTATTAAACCTTCCCCACTTTGTTGTTTAACAGTCGACCCCAAACATTGCCAATATACTTATTTCAAGTTACCCAATACTAAATCAATACGAAACTCTCCCGAACCCTGATCCACTCAGCAAAGCTCTGCAGACGTGCCTTTTAGGGGTCACCCTGGCCTGACTCAAAAGTTGAGATTCTTCTGAGCCCCGTTTCCCTCCAACCAAAGGGTAGCCTTGCGTGACAAGATATTTATTATTAGGGTCTTCTTTTGATCAAAACGAAGGTTTTATTAGGTTTTAGGACTCTTTTTGGAAAATAACAAGGGAAACCCGGGGACCCTAATAAGAAACCGCGAGGAAAGTAGTAGTGAGTCCCCCTTTGTCATTTCAATGTTCTTCCTGAATGGACCGTGGACAACTGGTAACTTTGACTAAACCTCATGCGTAGAACATCCAGGGATTCCGGGCCACGTTGATGTTGGAGAAGCCACTTGGGGGAGGGTCCGGAACATTGTGACACACACTCAGATTCGGCCCAGCTGAGTTTGAAACCCACTTTGTGGAAAGTCCAAATAAATCTGCCATTGTGGATTGCATTGGGTCATTCGAGGGGTAGGCCCAGCGTGCTAATACACAGCAAACCCTCAGAAACACGGCTTTTGGAGACCTGCTCACGAAGAAGTATTGCCCCAGGAGCGAGCCAGCCAGTCACTGCATGTTGTCAAAGCTGGGTAGTTTAGGTTGGCCAAGCAAGGTGTCAGCCCGGTCTTGGCGAGATGCTCCCGAACAAGCCCTGCGTCTCTGGCACCAGGTTCTGCCTTAGAGAAGCCGAGCCGAGCCGCGGCCCGACCACCCGGTGCGGGCGAAACGGAAAAAAAGCGCGAAACAGGGGCAACCTTCCGTGGTGACAAGCACGACTTTGAAGGGGTTTCAAGAAAAGAAGGACGCCACGGTAGGTTCGTAGGTTCGGGGGAGCCAAGAAACTGCGAGTTTTCAGCTGAACGAATCCGGTGGCACAATCACTTGACCAAGGGATGCAGTTTGGGGAAGAACGCCGAAAGTGATCTGCCAGGCAGGCCGCATCTACAAAAATAATCACGCGACTGAGACGGCCTTAGCCGCGGCCTTAACCGCGGCACAACCTCGGGCATCCATGTTCGAGGGGAATCGAACCTGGTCCCTCCCTGCAGCAGTTGTGAACAAACCGGAGTTCTGACCTTCCAGGGACGCTGGACACCGTTCGTGGGCCGAGGGGTAGATGGCGCCAGTGTCTCTCTTCCAGGGCTGTGGGAAATGCCCACTTCTGTGATACAAGAAAAAGGTCCCCCAAAGACTACCCCGCCATGTAAAGAGGGGATTCCCTTGTATCACAGAAGTGGGGATAAACCCCTTGATCCCACAACCTTGCACCTGTAGCATTACATAACACCAATTCCAACCGTGCAGCCGCCCCTTGCCGAGGCGCTGTTCGCTTTGGTACGGATTCATTGCCTGAGTGCCACGCTGGCGAACGACAGGGGCCATTTCTGCTGGGAGGTGCTATGAAACCCGAACTTTTCATAGGTGGCCTTTTAGAAAAAGTAGATGGCCCTGGTACATGGGATAAAAGCCACCTAAACAAGTGCCACCTATTTTTGCCAAACTAACCTAAAAAGGACACCTATGGAACTTCTCCCAACATAGCCTCCCCCCTGCAAACTGAAATGGAAAACAAAGGTTGGGTGCCCCAAAAGGATTTTCCTTCAAAGCTTTTTTTTTTGGGGGGGGGGTTCCATGCGCACCTGCAGAGAGGTCTGGCCCGAGAGACGTGTTTCGACCCATGGGTGTATCATCTTTCGGACCCGTCGAAGGTGGTTCTTGGTGTCCTTTTCAGACCACAAGCAACGGGGCCCAACTGCGCATTTCTTTTATGGCTGCCCTCATTCTCAGACCACACTTAGAATATTCGGTTGTTTCTTGTATTTTGCTTTATGGCCGCGGAAAATCCGAACTCCTTTCTGGGACCTTCATCCCGAGCAAGGCCTCCGAACATTTTTCCAAACACGAGACCTAGGTAAAAGGAGTCAAGACACTGCAATGAGGTAAGAACCCAAAGTCAGGAACCACACCTGCGAACTCACAGCAGAAATTAGGTTTACCCTCCCTCCCACGTTTCGTGGCACCTGCCAGAGGGTACCTTGAAAAGGAAATTGATCTTCCAGGTACTCTCCCACAAATGCTATGTTAGTGGGAGCAGGGGTCCACGATGCTCAGCAGGCGTTTGTGGAGGGGTTGTGGGGTTCTGGTCTGCCCATGTTACCCCGAAACTCGGAAAATTGTTGCGTCGAGGGCGAAGAAGAATGCCGAGAGAATCGAAAAGAATTCTCCTCCATGTGCCTAAGTTGCCTGGAAAACTAAAACAATATCCAGTAGTGATAGATGCTTAAAAACAAAATAATGGACAATGCCAAGTGTCCTTGTGTCCTTTCACTGTCAACCCAATTCACTCATTGTCAACAGCTCCTTTGAGTGGGACTTCTTTTCTTCTGGAGGACCCTCCCGAATAACTGCCAGGGGTACTAATCACCGCTCACTTTGTCATGGTTCTTCCGTGGTTCACGAGGAGAAGCAGAGGGAAGAAAGGCAGCTGCTCTGACCGAAAAACGGAAAGAGGGTGTCACCAAAGGAGAAGCATTCCACACACACCCTCCACCAAAACAATGGCAAAACAAAGGGTGTAAGGGGGCCCCTCAGTCCCATTCTTGCCTTACCCACACCCATTAAAAGAATGGTTGACCCAATTTGGATGATGACAATCCGTCGGTAAATAATGGTGGTTGTATGAACCCTCTTTGATTTAATGGTGGTTTGAACCCCAGGGCACATGAGCGCACATGAACGAACGAGCCACAACAAGCCACGGGCACCCCATCCCAACGACAGCAGAGCTAGCCTCACGCCTCACTGCCGAGGCTCGATGCTCGATTCACGGAACTGCGCTCGGTTGTCGCAGTACACAAAGTTTCCTGAGCTACTGTGGATGAACGAAATCCCTTTCGCACCACCTAAGAAGCCATGGAACATTCCCAAGGAGGTTTGACATAAACAGCACCGCAGCATTTTCACTCCAGCGATGCTACACGAGTCTGATAGACTGACAACCCACCTTTTCCTGTGGGATTTGCATTGGTATCCACAGCATGAATTTCCTCATGCTGTGGCCCAGCCAATTCGCCGATTTCCTCGGCACATCGGGTTTACCCCCGATAAGCTCTGGATGCCCTGCATCAAGCAGGATACATCTCCCACCACAGAGCTTAACTGACTGACTGGGGGCCTGGTCCCCCAGGCATTCCCCAAGCGCGGCGCGCTCTTCAAAGATCACGGACGTCCCAACTAGGGGGGCCGGTGATCTAGGGCGGGATAGGGTGGGGTTAAAATTTAGCCAGTTTGGATCATGCTTGAGCCAAAAGGCCCCGCATGATCCAATACACTCCTTGCAGAATGAAGCCTGTAAACCCAAGCCTTCCAACCTGATACAGGATTACATTCCCAAGGAGGTTTGACATAAACAGCACCGCAGCATTTTCACTCCAGCGATGCTACACGAGTCTGATAGACTGACAACCCACCTTTTCCTGTGGGATTTGCATTGGTATCCACAGCATGAATTTCCTCATGCTGTGGCCCAGCCAATTCGCCGATTTCCTCGGCACATCGGGTTTACCCCCGATAAGCTCTGGATGCCCTGCATCAAGCAGGATACATCTCCCAACGCACTTACTTTCACCACCTATTTCACAAACTCTCCCAATGCACTCACAGGAACTCAGCAAAGGTAATCACTGCTCGGTACGGAAGCCTCAGTAGAGCTGGAGGGAAAAGACTGAAATTCAACTTGAAGTGGTTGGCCCTGTACCATGGGTCACTGGGTCCCAGTCGGCTGATCGCGTCAGCCCAATTGGATTTGGATGGAATGTATTCCCAGTAGAGTGAGGCTCGCAACGCAAAGAGCAAACACTGGATATACGTCGCCATCTTGGCCAAGTCGGGGTTGTCACTCCTGCCCCTGATCAAACACATAAGACTGGCGATGTTATCGATGAACCACACTCCGCGTCTCCCGCGGAATTGGTCGGGTCTCGCTGTAAGGGCGTGCACCGCCATGAATAGCTCCAACTGGGCTATTTTATGGTCTCCTGGTCCCCACATATCGTAGGTCTGCGCGGGGATGATGGCTACAAAGGCCTCCCGAATCTGCACGCCGCCGTCCTGGAAGACCAAGTGGTATCCGCCGGATCCTTGACGAGGTGCCGAGGCGGCCACCACCCTCGGCACATCCATGGGGAGGACCATCAGCTCTCTCCTGGGGCGCATACGGATGACAGCCTCCAACACGTCAAAAGCCTCCAGCAGGCTGGCGCTGGCCTTGCTGGAGCCCCCGTACTGGTGCTCCTTCAACGCCTGGATTTCGCCCAAGCCAATGCGCCCGAAGAGGCCATGCTCCAGGAAGTTGACCATGCCGTAGAGTTTCGCAGCTTGACCCGGGGTGAACTTCCCGCTCCTCCTGGCGTCACGCATGAAGGTGAGCACCTTCTGTTCGAGTCGCTCTCGAACCCAAAACCGCGCGCGCCCATGTGTGTGGACCTCCGAGAGATCGAAATCAAGCCCCAAGAAGGTCCCGACATCCGCAGCTCCCTGGCGCTTCTCCTCAGCGAACGGGGTCCCCAGCAGGTCGTTGAGGGCGCCGAAACTCCACTGGGCTGATGGGCCGTGTACTGCGCGGTCTGTAATGTGACTGTCGTCGAAATACATGGACACCATGATTGCCAGAAAGCGCCTGCCCATAGCTTCCGCCATCCGGGAGTAGCGGTTGAAGGAGGTG